TAAACGTTCAATCAACGTTTTACCATATTTTAGATTTTATCTTTTTGAAAATATTTTGTCTTTTTTTAATATTTTGTAAAAAAATATGAAACCACATTTGTTTGCACAACGTTCTGGACAACAAATTAGTCTACCAAATTTCAGATTAGCCTACCTAAATTTCAGAAATGCCTATGTCATTTTCAAATCACCTAGGCATTTCTGAGATCAGGTAGGCATTTCTGAAAGTCATGAAGGGCAAACCCCTACAAACTAATACCTTACGATCTGGGATGCATTCTTAAGTTTGTGACCTTCTTATCTTTGCGACTTCTCTTGTCGTTGAAGTCCTCGTCATCGTCATCATCTCCTGGAGGTCCACCACCAGGAAGTCCCGGCGGCTTCGAAGGTTCTGCCAATAAATGCTCATCGTCTGCATCAGACGAATGTTGAGGCTTCTTGCTTCCCGAAGCTAACTCCTCAATGATAGGACCTGTGGGCTTCGAGGATTGTGGAACGGGTTTTCCGGGTCCATAACGAATCATGAGTTCCCTCCAGAGGTTGAGACTTTAGGTTCCGGATGAGCTCTTTCTGCTCCTTCCGAAGCTTCTCAATCTCTGCCTCGAAGTCCTTCTTCTGAGACTCGGCCAACTTCTGCATGTTCAAAGCGTGTTGATTCATTGCATCAATCTGAGTGCGGTACTCGGCAAGTTCCGAACGTGCTGCCTGCAGATCAGCATTGGACTTCTCTGCAGACGATGTCAAGACACCTGCACTGTTGACAACATGAGTCAGTTCGGCACTCAGTTCCCTGATGCGATGATCCTGCGCTGTGACCTGCAGTTGAGCAGATTTCTGCTCGCTCATCGCCTGGGCGGCTTGCTCGTTCAACAAAAGGTTCTTCCTGGAAATCTCTTCGGCTGCTTGTTGTTCAACGCTTGCAAGTTGATCTCGAGCTTCACTCACAAGCTCCATTCGTTGACGTTCCATGACCTCAGAGTGACGTACATTTGCCTCACTCTGCAATGCCTGCTGCTGAGCAGCCATGAGTTGATTTGCCAGGTTTGGATCAATGCCTCGTTGTACCACTGCCACGTGGGCGGTACGCTGATCAACACTATTAAAATTGATGGTGTCGAGTTGACTGATGTCAATATTTGAATCCAAAACACCGGGCATGTTCCTGCGTGGATCTTGACGGCATGGGTCAAACTCTTCATCCAGGTAACTCATGTCACCTTCAGTTGTTGCCGCGCCTGAGTGAATCACCACTTCCTCCGGTTGCGAAGTTGTCGCCAAAGCTAACGCAGCCGAGGCGTTCCCGCCCGGGGCAGGCAACGCTTGGGGATTTGACATGGCGAAAACTAGAGGAGAAAGAACGAAAAGTGTGAGACAAAAGGAAATCAACCAAATCACCTTTGGCGATACGGCTGATAACCTGTAGAAACGGTTAACTAGCCACTACCAACCACAAACTAACAACCTGCAATACGCACTATTTCTTGAGCCATAGCGTACGAAGTATAAGGGGTGAAAAGGTATGTACATGGTATGCTACTGTGCAACAACAGAAAGAAACACATGCAGTGGATTATGTTGGCCAAAGTTTTCCCGAGGTTGGTTGGTACGGTAAAATTTGTTTGTTTTCTTTGTGAATTCTGGTGGTGAAAAGTGCAGTTAGAATATGGATAGGTTTGGAGTGTTTTTTTTTCATCGCTCACTTCCTAACCAACAAGCAGTACCACACAACCGCACAAAATACCAGCAAACAACTTGCGCAACGCAATTTTCACCATGTTTGTTCTTGCATGATTTCTGTCCTGTTTTCCAACATGCTGAAAGATACACATACAGTAGATTGTGTTGGCCAAAGTTTTCCCGAGGTCGGTTGGTACGGTAAAACTTGTTTGTTTTCTTTGTGAATTCTGGTGGTGAAAAGTGCAGTTAGAATATGGATAGGTTTGGATGGTTTTTTTCCCTCACTCGCTTCGCAACCAACACCAGCAGCACCACACAACCGCACAAAATACCAGCAAACAACTTGCGCAATGCAATTTTCACCATGCTTGTTCTTGCATAGTTTCTCTCCTGTTTTCCATGCTGAAAGAGACACATACAGTAGATTGTGTTGGCCAAAGTTTTTCCGAGGTTGGTTGGTACGGTAAAATTTGTTTGTTTTCTTTGTGAATTCTGGTGGTGAAAAGTGCAGTTAGAATATGGATAGATTTGGATGGTTTTTTCCCTCACTCACTTCGCAACCAACACCAGCAGCACCACACAACTGCACAAAATACCAGCAAACAACTTCCACAATGCAATTTTCACCATGCTTGTTCTTGCATGGGTTCTGTTCTGTTTTCCATTATGCTGAAAGAAACACATGCAGTGGATTATGTTGGCCAAAGTTTTCCCGAGGTTGGTTGGTACGGTAAAATTTGTTTGTTTTCTTTGTGAATTCTGGTGGTGAAAAGTGCAGTTAGAATATGGATAGGTTTGGATGTTGTTTTTTTTCATCGCTCACTTCCTAACCAACAAGCAGTACCACACAACCACACAAAATACCAGCAAACAACTTGCGCAACGCAATTTTCACCATGTTTGTTCTTGCATGATTTCTGTCCTGTTTTCCAACATGCTGAAAGATACACATACAGCAGATTATGTTGGCCAAAGTTTTTCCGAGGTTGGTTGGTACGGTAAAACTTGTTTGTTTTCTTTGTGAATTCTGGTGGTGAAAAGTGCAGTTAGAATATGGATAGGTTTGGATCACTTCGCAACCAACACCAGCAGCACCACACAGCCGCACAAAATAAAATACCAGCAAACAACTTGCGCAATGCAATTTTCACCATGCTTGAAGTCAAGGACTTCAAAAGCACCCCAATCAATAAAATGTGACTACTGTGTTGTATCTTTTGCAGTACCGTATTCTTACAATATAGAGACACAATAACAAAGTCAATTTCCATTTGTGAGATTACATGTCTTGAAGTATGGTACAGTACAGTATCTGGAAGTAAATGTTGTCTCCAGCAATTGAATCAACCAAATGTGATTATATCACATTCTTGCAACACCTGTGGTCATTTCCTGCAGTTAGAATACAGGTAAACGCATCATTTGGTCTTGCTTCATTGAAGTCCGGAGCATGATCTTTGCGGCACGACGAACATGATATCGGTTCTTCTGACATCAGTGGCCATATTCTAAGTGCATGGGCCCATATTCTAAGACCAAGGTTTTCGGCTTAGCTCCGAAAACCCTATACCCCGAAGAGCGGCTTAGCTCAGCTAAGCAAATCTTAAGGTTTTATATTCTAACTGCTGGTCCGTCATAGTACTGGAATGTGTTCTGTGCAAGCTTTGTAGTACAAAGTAGTACTGGAACGTGTTTTGTGCAAGCTTTGTAGTACAAAGTAGTACTGGGAAATGTTTTGTGCAAGCTTTGTAGTACAAAGTAGTACTGGGAAATACTTTATGCAAGCTTTGGAGTACAAAGTAATACTGGGAAGTAGTTTTTGCAAGCTTTTGTAGTAGACATCAGTACTGGGAAGTAGTTTTTGCAAGCTTTTGTAGTAGACACCAGTACTGGGAAGTAGTTGACATGAAAATAGCCAAGCAGAACTTGGCTGACATATGGGAAGACATGAAATGAGATGAGAAGAGCTCAGATGAGATGAGTTGAGATGAAGTGCAATTGTGAAGTGCGGAGTGTGGGGTGCGAAGAGTGCAATGTGAAGTGTGAGGAAAGTGTTTGCTTGGCGTTGCATTGCGCCGGGGTCGTGCGCAGGTCATCTTCTTGGACAACAACACTGCAACAGCTTCGCACAAAGCACGCCAGCGGGCCTGGCTGGCGCACGGTGCATGCAAGTTCCTTAGTAGTAGTACTGGGAAGTGATTCATGAAAGCTTAGATGACATATGAGAAGAAATGAGATGAGAAGAGATGAGTTGGGATAAGGTGAGAAGAGCTCAGATGAGATGAAGTGTGGAGTGTGAAGAGTGCAGTGTGGAGTGTGGGGCGTGAAGAGTGCAGTGTGTAGTGTGGAGTGTGAAGTGAAGAAAGCAGTGAGAAGTGCGAAGTGTGGACTGTGAAGTGTGAAGTGTGAAGCGCGGAGTCTTAAGAGTGCAGTGTGAAGTGAAGTGTTGAGTGCGAAGAGTGCAGTGTGAAGTGTGGAGTGTGAAGAGCGCAGTGAGAAGTGTGAAGTGCGAAGTGGAGCTTTAAATGATTTTAAATGTGACATGTGAAACAGGACACCACTTTCGCAGAATGCACGCACCCACGGGTTTCGCTGGCGCACGGCGCATGCAAGTTCTATAGATGAGAAAAGTCTTATATATATATCCCTAAGGCAACTTCCGGCCCGCCTCGTGCGGGTACTACTGGTATATATATATATACACATAGTTATATATTAGATCCACGTAAATAAATGTAAATAATAATCACTATGTTCTACGGGTTAAATAGGTTTACATCATAACAATCCGCATGTTCACCTCCCTAGATCTAAAAATATGGGAAAATCTGGACAGTTATGGGAATATCTTTGGGGTTATAGTTTTATGCACCATCCCCCCAATCCAATTTTCCGCGCTTATGAGACTGGTGTTTAATGGGTCTGGGTCAAAAGAACCCCAATCAACGGTCTCACTCCGAACAGAGGTTTTGCATTCAAAATACAACCCATTTCTGGTCACAGGGTGGCATGTTTTTCGGTTTGAATAGCGTACCCATTTGAAACTGAAAACGGCAAAAAACATTGGAGCTTCAAAATGTGAGCAACAAGAATGTGGAGCTCATCCACGACATTGGGCAATGGTATGCAATGAACGTACTGCAATCAGATCAACATCCGACATATTTGGATACAAGAAATCGAGGCTGGCAAATAGCCCAGTAACAAATCATGAAATGGTGGATGACGTCAGCGGTCCCTATACAAAGCTTTATAAAACTATAAACTATTATAACATACGGCCTGGTAGATGAAAACTGCATCTCCCGAGTCCCCTGGCCCACCTGACTGAGCGGTGCCAACATCTCGGCTGGTTTCAATCTCAGTTGCCCAATCATCTCCCAAATCATTCACGTATGATATGAACGGTATGTTTACGCGCAAACACCCCGTTTCGCCCACACCCTACTTGTCTTGGGAAGATCAACAAAGGTATTAGGGAATATAAGGGTCCCACCCCCGTTAAACTTTACATTCATTTTACATTCATTGAAGATCTTCAATAAGAGTTTAATTCTCCCACCCCCGCTAAATTTCTACATTCATTGAAGATCTTCAATAAGGGTTCAATTCTCCGACCCGCGGTAAACCTCTACATTCATTGAAGATCTTCAATGAGGGTTTAATTCTCCCACCCCCGTTAAACTTCTACATTCATTGATGGCCATCAATAAGAGTTTAATTCTCCCACCCCCGTTAAACTTCTACATTCATTGAAGATCTTCAATAAGGGTTTAATATTCCCACCCGCGTTAAACCTCTACATTCATTGAAGATCTTCAATAAGGGTTTGAAGGCCTTCAATAAGGGTTTAATTCTCCCACCCCCGTTAAACTTCTACATTTATTGAAGATCTTCAATAAGGGCGGGTTTAATTCTTCCACCCCCATTAAACTTCTACATTCATTGAAGATCTTCAATAAGGGTTTAATTCTCCCACCGGGGTTAAACTTCTATATTCGTTGAAGATCTTCATTGATGATGATGATGATGATGATGATGATGTGGTGGAACGAACCTGCACAGGTCCCTGTGCTGCGCGTTCTGGTCTAGAACATCAAGTTAACCATAATGCTAAAATATCCTATTTTTTACCACGTTTTTAGCTCATACGAAGAAGGCGGGCCAACAGGCGCGGGCAAGACGAGGTGTTTGGCCGTATGTTTACCTATACAATTACATACATTCACCCGTGGTTAAACTGTGTTACACTGTGTTAAACTTGCTGTGATCATACCATACATAGATGGTATGGCATGGCCCTGGCAGCTGCATGGGCTTATATCATCTTTAAACCCATCCTACACGATCGGGGAACTGTAGAACATTACAGAAAAATGAATATCTAGCCATATCCAATCACCAGTTTGCAGTAAACCGCCATTAGATCACCATTCAATCACCATAACACCTTACAACATCTAAAACCACAAGCCATATCCAGCCATATAGCCCAAAGAATGCAGCTGAAAGCGGCTTGGTAACCACCACCACTGGAGCGGGTAAAAGCTGTGCGTCGACCTAAAATAGCCGCCCGCCCAGGGAGAAAACCCAACAGTGTGAAGGGTATTTGAATGGTGATGTTATGATAATGTTATGGTGATTTAATGGTGATCTAGTGGTGATTTAATGGGTATTGAATGGTGATGTTATGGTGATTTAATGGTGATTTACTGGGGTTAATGGTAATTTAATCTGATTTAATGGGATTGAATGCTGATTTCATAGTGATTCAATTGGATCTAATGGAACTTCAGATGACAATAAGATCGGACCTGATATGATTCAATGGAATGGCTAGCCAACTATGTATATATATATGATATGTGGCTGTGTCTGAAAATGAAGGATTAACCAGTGGACAGCCTGATGGGGAAATGATGATTCACCAGTGGATTCAGGGGGCGCCGCCATAAGACGTATTGAAACATGGTCGCCTGCATCAGGATCTAAATGATCTAAGACCGTAGACCAAAATAGACCAACCACATTACCACAATTTTCGATCTCCCTCCGACTCCCGCTAGAGGTGAAAAGCTTCATACTCTCTTTGATTGTCTGATTGTCTCGTCTCTCGCCTCAATAAGTCTCAACCAACGGTTTTGAAATATTCTAAATTCAAAATATTTAAACATATTTAAACTGTTTTTTTCCTCCTCCATATTTGAATCGATCAATCATTTTATCCGTATGGATCTATATTAATCTATATAGTCTACTGTTTCCTCCCTGGCCCAGCTTTTCACAAACTCACATCCTGGCACCTGCATTGCCACCACTTTGGCGTGTCATCAGTGGCCCTGGCCACAAATGCCATGGCGTCACATGGGGAGAGCCACCCAGCGTTGGGTGGCCTTGGACTCGTAACCTTCGTTATCCAAAGTTGCGCAAAGCAGAACACTGTTGATTGAAGTGACATCCCAGGGTCAACATGATGACTGACCGTAACTGACCTTTCTTGAGCCGAGAGGAAACACCAAAGGTGGCATCTGAGGATCTAAAAGGATCTAAAAGGCGAATCCACGGGCGATCGTTGACCTGCAGGTGCAAGTTCTGAACGGTTTGGGTGCAAACATTGGGAAACAACTCAACTCAATCGATCTCAATCGATATTGTCATGCTACTGCTGAATGATCAATCAAAACATATCAAAACAGTTCCTTCAAGGTCCACAAAGCCAGCTGCAACAGCAAAACCTGGCAAATTTCAAGCGCAATTTGAGGTGCCCCACTTCATGACATACCTGGCAAGGAGGCAAATATAATATGTCTGATCGGATGAGCGGGGCATGGGATCATCTGGAGCATCACGAAGCATCACCACGCGCTGGACAATAAAAGAGAGAACTCAAATGACTGAGACAAAATGAGACTGTCGAAGATGCTGAATCTACATATATATATATATTGTTTGGAAGTCCTACGTGACGTACGTGACTTTTTGCATGTTTTTCTCTCTGGCCCTGCAGTCTGTCCGATGGCCACCAGCATAATCAACTCAAATCTTGCCACAGCTCGGCCATGGCGGCGGCCACAGCAGCTGGGTCAGTCCAGAATTCAAAGGTCAGAGGATTCCAGCCAGGCATATTCGAAGGTGAAGTCTTGCTTCGTCACTGCCGACTCCCATCTGGTCTCGAAGTCGAAGAAAATATAGGCGCCACGTTCAAGCTCCGGTGCAGTATAAACAGGCTCTTCGGCGCGCTGAAACCATGTGTGGTACTTCGTGTGGTACCTCCATGTCGCCCTATTCAATTCCTTGGCCGCCAGATACTGCTGATAGGTGCCCTGTTGGAAGTAGAAGATGAAAAAGAGGGTTTCAGGGTCATAACGCGCAAAATATCTGGGATCTTCAGAGGACCTGTGCGGCTCCTCTGGATACAAGGCTCTCCCGGCTGCATCTCTGTGGATGTAGGGGATCATCGGCGAATAACTTCTATTCTTCCTCCGGTCGCTGGGCAAGGGCATAAAGCGCCCTGACGCCTCGAAAAGGGCGTGATTCCTTTCTTGCTCTTCTGTCAAAGCCGCATATTGCAGGTCAGCCGGTCCTTCTGCCACTGCTATCTGATTTTGTGCTTGAGCAACAGCAACAGGAGGGGCCTCATTTGGAGGCGGTGGAGGGCCTACAGGTGGCAGTGCACCAAAATGTCCAGCTGCTGGAGCTGGCGGCAGTGCATAGCTGGGAGGTGGGGGTGGTGGTGGTGGCTGGGCTGGCGGGGGAATATGGGCGGGTACTGCATCGGGTGCTGGGGGCGGCTGGGAAGGTGGTGGCACGGTGGGCGCAATGCCATCGGCGGGGCCTACATGCACAGGAGGTTGCGGTGGCACCTGGACCTGGGGCGGTGGAGCTACCGTTAGCTGCTTTGGTATATGTGGACTTGGTGCAGGGGAGGCCACAGGTGCAGCAGCCGCTGCAACGGCACTTGGCATCGCATGCGAAGCCTGGCTGGGCGCTTGGTGAGCAGGTGGCTGTGCAAGCACTCTCGTTGCAATCTGTTTGGATGCGACCTTTTCCTTGGGTTTCTCGTCCACTGGCCGTGGGTGCACTGAGATACTGGGTGCCTTGTGCTTTGCAGGCTCCTTGGGCTTCGGCTCCTCCTTCTTGACTTCTTCCTTCTCTTCCTCATCATCCTTTTCCCTGCCTGTTGCCAGGTAGTCTTCCACCTCTTCCAAATTGAAGTCGTCATAGGCTTCGTTGAAATCCATGAAGCCCTCCGCGGTCCTCTGATTTATTCCCTCATCCATGTAATTTGTGAGGCTGTCTTTCAGCGTCTCCAAGCTCTCCACATTCACGTCTTCGTTGTTCAGCTTTCTTTGAAGCTGTTCCAGCTTGTTCATGTGCCACCTATGAGACTCCAAGACTCTCTTGGTAAAGGCCAAATTTGCCTCCTCTTTCGAGTTCTTGGAAGGCTTTCTAGACGTCAATCTTTGGTCCTCTGCTGTCAGCTCATCAAACTCCTTCTCCAGATTGGAGAGCATATCTTGGATCCATGTGATCATCTCGCGGCGTTTCTGTACTTCTGGATCTGCCCGATCTTCTTTGTTCAGGCCCACCTGTGAGAATCGTTTCATCTTGGACTCACGTTCGAAGTCCTTGAAATGATCCATGAGAGCCTCGATTTTGCTCTTGCCTTCCATCAAGAGATCTTTGTCCTTCACACTCTTCTCCGCAATCCAGCTGGAAAGCTGATTTCGATCCCGCTGGAGCTTCTTGATCTGAGCTTTCAGATTCTCCTCCAGTTTTTCTTTCTGATTGGGCTGGGAAGCACGGTGATGTGCATCTTTTAGCCGATTGTACTCTTCCACACCTTCATCGACTTTCTTCAAGCCTTTGTCAATCTCGGTCTGCAACTTCTTCAAATGTGCCATGGCTCCTTTGGCGAAGGAATTCGGGCCCGTTCAGCCCGGCTTCCTCTCAGAGTTGGAGCCAATCTTTGGCGGGTTCCTCTTGACCCAAAATGGCTATGGCAAGTCAAAAAGTTAGTCAGGCATGGTCAGGTTTTTGCGCTGCTTGGAACTCATGCAACTGGTGATTCACTCAACTTGGAACTGGTGGAAGTTGAAGAGCTGACCCGCGCTGTACTGCAGAGGGTTCCAACTGGCCTTGCATGGCCCTTCGAGTATCCCGTACGAAGCTTGCCAGGACAACCTGCAGGGTCGAAGCACTCCTTTTGCAACGGTCAAATCGCAAAGTGCACCTAGATGCACCTAGGCACTGCAGAACCTCAAAAATGAATTGCAATGAATTGCAATGAATTGCAATGCAAGTTGCCCCAGTTCCCTGCAGTTTCTGCAGTTTCTGTTCCTGTTTTCTCTCAACACCTCAAGGCTTCTGCTGTTCCAACCGTCGCCTCAAGCTGCCATGGCCCCTTGCCAGGCTGCTACCAAGAGCACTGCAAGGATAATCTAGCTATCCCATGCTATCCCTAGCCTGCCCTTCCAACCTCAACTGAGTGCCATTCATTTGTGATTGACCGAAATTCAGGAATGACGATGTTCCAACCCATTGGATTGCAAAATGTGTTCCCTATATAATATACCATATATTATATATATTTTGTATATTGTATGTATATAATATATATATATATGTGTGTGTGTGTGCACTCATGTGACTTTTGTGTGTACATTTGTTATTGATGAACATTGATGAATATGGCCTAATATGGCACTATTGACATATCTCAAAATCCCCTAAGCCATGTCCATTTCCAGCCAGGCTGCTGCCAGCAGTGGATGCAAACCTTTGTTGTTCCAGGCACAGTCAGATCGAGTGCCAAAGCACGGCAGCCGCTGGCGCAGCGCTTCATTTGGTCCAGCGCCAAGCTTGGCCGACGCTGGGCACGCGGCAAAGAGCGCATGGGCTGGGCCTGGGCAGGTGATGTGGTGAACCCGTAGAAATTCAAGAATTCACCTAATCACGATAAACCAATGATAAACCCGCTTTTTCGGGCATTGTTGTTCATATCTCCTTTACAGTAAGCTCTTTTGGCTGATGTGATTTTTAGGAAATTTCCCTCAAGTGGATGCTAACGCTACAATAATTGGGTATGGTTTATCATTGGGTTTACCACATGAATCAGTGCAATTGACAGACCATCATCTTGTTTATCTTGTTTCCAGAAGGAAAAACACTTCTCCGTGAATCTGCAGATTGGAGAAATCGTTTTGTTGTCTTCCCTAAACATCCCTCAACAGTAACACCAGGAGCATTTTTTGTCCGTCCGGCGCCTGCAAGTTTTGAGTCTTCTCTGCATCGCGCAGCTTGACACCGAGGAGACCTTCCCTCCAAGATTGCCTGGGAAACCAACAATTGGGCTGCCATGGGATGCCCTAAAATCATCTTAAAATCACCCTTCCAAAAGCCCGGGCCCTTTCAGCAGCAAGTAGCAATGACAAGTTAGCATCCTCCGCCGCAAAGAGCAGCTGCACGATGAGTTTCCTCAAGGATGGTGCTATCCACTGCATATGCTATCAGCATCCGCCATGGCCATCCCCTAAATCCTGCAGCCAAAGGACTCATCGTGCGACGAGTCCTGCATGAGGCTACCATAATGCCTAAGTGAGAACAAATGCCATGGAAAACAAAAGATACAAAAGCTTCGTAAAGCTTCGTAAAGCACGTTCTGTGAAACCCACATATTGCAGGTAGATTCTCCAATGACATCCATTAGATATCCAGGGGGAAAAACCCAACCGAGCCGCTGACATGGTCGCATCCAAGGGTTCCCCATAAGCTGAGCCAGCAAAGCCGCCAAAGCGCCTGCAGCGCTCTATCATCTCTGGTGCTCATCTGATATCCTGCTGGTGTACCACTTTGTCATTCTGCTGCAACTACGTTGATGTTCGGCAAATTTCAATGATTTCCGTAGTTAGGAAAATGAAGTGGGACAACAGGAAAACGAGAAATGCCAGCACATGTTCCACATTGGACTCCTGGCCGCACCTTTGCGTCGGTTTCGTGCTGCAAAAGACCAAGACACGTCCTTCGCGTGGCTGGATGCCTTGCAAATGCGCAATATTTCTTTTCACTCTGCCATCAACCAACATGCAGATCCATGCAGTATGATGCAGCAACTATCGGATGGAACAGAAGCTGGTGGTGCCCCTCTGGTTTTCCAAAGTGTTCCAAGGCCTTTTTACTTTTGCTCCAAGGGGCTGCAACCCAGATTCGGGAAGCAGGTGTGACCCCCTGAGTCACTCAGGTACAGCAGCATGGTGACATCACCTCATAGCGGACAGGTTCATGATGACATAATCTGGTTTTCTTGCCAAACATCAAATCATCGCAATACCAAGAGATATCAAGAGATCCAAGAGTTACATTCTGGATGGAACATTACCCAGGTGTCACAAGGCTCGTTGAGTCAAGTTGCTGGTGTCCACATGTGGTACTTGTGACTCGTCTGGCTGATACCTTACGACCTTAGCGAAGTTGAAACGTCTCGCAGCCATGGAAAAATATCATGCACAACTGTCACAACCCTGTAAAACCCACAATCCTTCCAAAGCAGACTGCGAATCAGCATGCGCCTATGCAATCATATGACAAAGACGGCACGGGCTGCACAGGGAAAAAACACCCTGTGGATTTTGGGGGACCCATGGGGGACCCATGGGGGACCCCAGGAAAAAAGTTTACAAAAGCCACAGTTCATCAATTTCCCCAATTTCACCGGGACATCGCTGGATCAAGGGACAGTTGTGTCACGCAGAACCCAGCAGGGCCCCCGCTGGTCCTTGGACCCTGTACCAGGCAGCCCCTGGACCGGAGCGCCTTGCACAAGATGTCGGATCCTAGATCTTCAGCTCCACTTGTCGCAAAAAAGGGAAGTTACTACATGGGAATGATGTTGAATAACTTGATCATTACCATGATGGCCATCGTTCTTTACAATCTTACCATATAATTGTGAATTATTGTTGAGTATATAATGATATTGCTAACTGCCAATATATGATCATAATCAGATATGGTTATCCTCATCCATCATCAAGGCTTATGGCTTATGCTTCCTGCCTAGTACATCCAGCACCAGCGGCGCCAACTGCGGCAGCAACTCCTCTGGCACTTTGCATCGGAAGGCGCTTTTCCGGAAGCCGCTGCGCGCCAGGTCATCCTGGTGGCCGCTGGTGGCTGGGCTTCCCACTTTCAAATGGGACCATATAGTACCCCAGTACCCTCCAGTAAATTAACATAGTGATAGATTCTGATAGATGATCTAATCTCATCCTAATCATCCTATCTCTACCTATTAAGGTGACTTTCCATAGCCATGTTAGTTTACCAGGGGTTACTTTCTCTCTCCATCCGTTCCCATCCCCTGCGATCCCGGCACCGGGTTCCATTGGGTGCACCAGGCACGCCGCGCCGTGGACAGCAACGCCAGGTCCCAGTCGCTGCTCTGCAGCAGTTCTGGCCGTTGCATGGCAGTCCAAAGGAGGGATCTCAACGGGTCTTCCTGGTACCTGGCACGACCACGACCCAAGTGGCAAACTATGGCTGTCTAATGGCCATCTATGGCAAACAATCTGTGCAAAAGTACTTTTGAAGCTGGCTGGTGATGAATAAGTGCATAATGAGGGTGAATGCGTTTTTTTGTGAATAAAGATGAATGCAAGTTGCATTTGCTTCCCACACATCCTCACTACTCTCGAGCTGCAGCATCTTGCAGCCGGGGCACTCTGCAGGAACCGTTTGCAGTGCACCACTGCTGATCATTGATACCAACATTTGAGCATCCTGAGAGCCAACCACTCTTGGCAAAGCTAGAGCAAGGCAGCTCAAAAATTGCAGCAGGTCTTGCTTTTGCTACAGTCGCTTTTGGTGAGAGACAGGTATATCCGGTAGGAAGGTGTGCATTAAGGAACATTGTGCCGGCAATCTTGTGAATCAAGCACAGTTTTGCGACATTAGTCATATTGGATGGACTTTCGTGGTATTTCTGGTGGGGTGAGGCGAATCGTGGCAGCTGCCCTGGATCCATTGATCCAACTTCTCCGGTCTTCCATTGTGGGGCCAATGCGGGCCGCCTCCTGCAACTCCCGGCGTTCATCAAACATGTCGTCAACATAGGCATCCTCAAATCGCAGGGCTCGGCATCACAGCTTTCGCATGGGATGAGCGAAAGCTGACCAATCCACCCATCAAATAGGAGCTAGTCGCTCCTAAGAGAGCTGAAGCATAATGAAACAAGTATAGTTATGCATGTGCACAAAATTGCACACATATGCATATGTATTGATCATTGTCAAGTAATTTCCTTTAGTTGTCAAATAGCTTATCATCATCCCACAGGTTCTTTGCCAATACTGGCATCATGTGGCATCACCCAATGCCAGCGGCAAGCTGCTGTCTTCTTCAGGTTGTCGAGCTTCTGCCTGCTGAGGACATCCTTCAACTGCTGTACCTGTCGCTGCTCGCAGAGGCCATCCACCACCCAAATGAGCGGATCCTCACTGACCTGGCAGTCCAATTGAATCTCATCCATGACCGACCCCTAAAAATGCATAGATACAAGACGAATACCTTAATAAGCCACACTAAACCAAGGCTTTTGAGAGAGTATTTCATATGTTATCCTGTATTTGGGGAATGAAGCGCACACACACACATATATATATATATATATATGTGTGTGTACAAAAACAATCAAAAACATATACATATATAATATGTATGCATCATTTATAATATATATATATATGTGTGTGTATGGTCAATAGTGGTTGGTAATTGGGAAGGTTAAGATAGCTCAGTTGTACAATGTTGTACGGAAACTGGCCTCTAGTCTCGGTTCAGGTGCAACTGAAGTGCATTGAAATGTGGACAGTTGTGTACGAAAATGGTTGAGCTACACGCACATCCTCAACTACTTCTAGTCAGGTCACAACATCAACAGTCACCCGTCGCTGCGTCACCCCATGGCGGCTGAAGGAGCGCAGCAGTAGAGGGAAGGTTCCCAAAGCACCTTGGTGCTTTGGAATCATCTGAGCGGAGGGAGGTTCATTGCCTATGCCAAACCTGGAGATTTGATGAGATTGGGATTTGGATGTTTTTTTGGGGGGATTTGGGTTGAGTCATGTTGAGTCATTTATCTGCCGCAATCCGTTTTGCAAAATATATCAAAATATGCAACGTGGAGAATGACCTGTTTCCCATGCGGATGCGGGGACCGCCACTGGAGCTGCAAGAGAATTGGTTTACATTTTACATCACTTCGGAGAACCAATCGTGATCGAAACCAACTCTTTTGAATTCAGGTGTCCTTAAGCCCCAGGCTCCCTGCCATGTCTCCCTCCTAACCAGGCTGCCTCGCTTCAAGTGAGAGGAGAGTCTGAACTGCTGCCTGGCATGGAAGCTTGAACGAGTCTGGCAATGGATCCTCCGTTTGCATCGTTTGCAATTGCTTTACACCCAAGGGTAAACCGGGTAAACCGGGTAAACCCAACTGTGCTCAGATCCCAACATGGTTTGACGTCCACGAAAGATGCCCCGCGAAATGTCTGCTGGTCTCCGCTGGAACGGCACAGAGCTGGCCGCTTCCATGGCCAAATCCACGGTTTCGCATCGGGGCCAAGTTCTAGTTCTGTGTGGGGCTTGGGGCTTCCAGGACTTCAAAAAGGTGATACATGGTGATACGAACGACATCTCTATCCTTGGTATCAGCTAAGTATATAATACATCTGTCAACATCGGATGAGTATGGGCTAGTGCCATGCTGATGCTATTTGACATGCAGAGGGGTAAGCCGGCTCCTGCCATATCAGGCTCGGGCACAAACAGCAAGAGCGACGAAAATCAAAACATTGCCGCCCTTGATAGGATGAATGAGGCGTCCGTCACTTTTATGGATGGTCCAGACTACTGGCAGAGATCCAAAGTGGGTTGAAACATGTTGAAACATGTTGAAACACGTTGAAACCTCTTCCAAGATGTATTTCAGATTATTTCAGGATTCCGTGGCGGGAAAACCAGTCAAGGCCCTGTCACGTTGAACCTTTGCAGAACGAGGTCTTTGGTCTATCTCTGGTGGCTGAAATTCAGCCCCAAATCTTCAGAGGTGAAACAGAGACAACGAGCTCAGGAGATGAACAACCAAAACGCCTCAGGTGCTACAGAAGCAGGTTGGATTGCTGCTGAGAAATTGCTTTGCAACATCTTGCAACTGTTGCCATCTGCCAGCATCTGCCAGCATCTGCCAGCATCTGCCAGCATCTGCCAGCATCTGCCAGCATCTGCCAGCATCTGCTGCCAGCTCCCACCTGTGTACATCATACCTGCTATTCCGCTCTGCCATGTTTTTCAAACAACTGTGCGCCTCCCAATGCCCAGCAGTGGGAGCTCTTGTTCACGCTCCAGCTGCTTTGCCTTCCTCTTCCGCTTTTTTGGCATCCTGGAGGCTGTTGCTCAGAGATCCACTGCGAAAAGCTTGCCAGAAACAACATACAGCAAACAAACACTAGCAGGATCTTCTAGTAGGTAGTGTGATGTAGTGTGTGGAACGCATTTATTTTTTTCGTGGTGACATTTTCGTTCATCAACATCCATCACCTTAAGGTACCCGGTTCCGCTTGAAACTGCCCAAACGGGCCCGGCCTGAGCTGCTTTGAGCCGCAGCTTCTCCGTGCGCGTCTGCACGTATTTGTGCATGTCCACGACACCTCACGGGCCACACCTCTGATTCCATCGCAGGCTTACTGAAAGTTGTTGGCCTGGGGACATACCACACAAACCATGTTTGCATATAGATACATGGTTTTAATATATTTACTTAATTGATTTATTTATTTACTTCATTCTATATTAATTTGTTTATGTGTTTATTTACATTGTATTTAAATGTGCAGTTATGAGCATAATTATATTCATAATTATATGCCAAGGTGTATATAATATATATACCATTAAAGATCTATAATTATATCGTATCAATGCATATCATCTATCTGTATACTGTATATGTTCTCTATGTGTATGGCACTTCCTGCATGCCACAAGCAGCCCAGGAACCATCGTCGTAGTCAATCGTCTGAGCCTGTGAAACTTGGCCCATGACCAAGGCAAAGCCGCAAAGTCTTCTTGCTTAAGTCATGCTCAAATGGGCTGGTGGCTGGTTCTGGCAGGTTTCGTTTCCAAAGACAAAAAAATAGTAATAAACAGCATAATATATATATATATACATATACATAACAAGTAATAACAAGTCAGTACAAAAACTGTCAGTCAAAGGGTCTTGGACCCACAAGTGCTGATGAGACGCTTGGGCAAAGTCCTGCGCACTCAAGGCATATTCTCCTAGGAAGCGCCTCGCTTTTCCGCGAGCCCGGTAGGCCTGGTGCAATGGCAAGCTACAGATGTGGTGGCCATGGCCACCGGGTTCTGGTCCTATGTTGATCCTTTTTGTGGGGTCCCATATGGATTCACATGGGAGAAATTACTACGAAAACTGTAATCAAACTACCAAGATGTCTCCAGTATAATCATGTATAATCTCTGGGTCACCCCAGCCTTGGCGCTATCAGGATTCAACTCCAGGGCCAGTGTGGCATCTGCTTCAACTGCTCGATATCGTTTCTGTTTCCTCAGTGCCCAAATCCCTGGTAGGGCCTGTCACTGTAGATACTAGATACCTTTTCAATTTTCTTTACGGAGGATCATGATGAGCCAATATCGGTGCCCGGTGCTATCAGTAATACTTCCGGGAGTCAGAAGCATCTCAGCGCGCTTCGCCAGCATCATGGCAGACACCTTGCTGGAAAATCATCAAGGCCACAAGATACCACAATCCACAGAGCTTAAGATTCACCAATTCCAATCAATCTAGCACCCATAGCCCCACAGAAACGGAATTACGCTATATACTTCGATTTTGACATTCTATCTGGCATCCTTCTGATGTTCTTTCATGTTCTTTCTGGCATTTTATCTGACTTATGTTCTGACATTCTTTCTGGCATTCTCTTTGCCATGTGTTCAGGCCCAGGCGTGGTCCACTGCATCCGGAGCTGGGAGGAAAACAGGAGTGATTCAGCGAGGGGGACACGAGTGAAGGAGTGAAGGAGGAAGAAGTGAGGGAGTTGCACCTTTGTTAAAATCTAGAGACCCTCACCGGCGGGAAAAATATCGAAAATTGTGCTACAAAATGAGATGTCTATTTCCATGTTTTATATACAGTACTTGTTCCATCTTTTTTGGGGGATTTTACTATAGAATACTATAGGTATCTACAGATCACCGATGATATCCGATGATCACAGCCAGGTGACTCCTCCAAGCATCATGGCCTCTGTGAATTTATTCACTGCTGCAGTGAGATCGCCATCCTCCAGAGCCTGAGTTAGGGCGCGGGTTTCATGGGGATATACGAGTCATCGGGGGTCTAACCTACCATTTAATCGGATTAATGAGATTTCATAGGGGTTTCGTGGGGTTTCATGGCTTTCGCTGAGTAAAATGAGGCTGCCCACATAGAAGCCCCAAGACTTCATACAAGTAGGAAAGCATAGGAACCAAGCCAATCTTTGGTGAGTTGGAAATGGCTTTGTGATGCTCAGAGCCCCGCCCCTTTCCCACATTCCCCCTGATGATTCCCTGCACAACTCTGCCAAGACTCCTCAATCGCTTGCCCTTTGAGCTCGCCTTGCTTGTCAGCATCAGCATCACTGAGCTCCTTGAGCTGCAAGTTTCAACACTTAAACACCATTCACAACCACAACCCTTGTTAGAGGGGTGATAGAACCCCCCGGTAAACCTTGTTGCTTTGGGTACTTGGGCCCTGTCCCCCTCACCAATCTGTGAGAAGTAAGGCAAGGACCCTGTCCTTGCTGATGAGATCCTCAGATGCGGTGGGCGAGCTGTGATGCTCACCTACTTGCCGTCACAACTCTGAGCCCCCCCTATGACTGCTTAGAAACTGCTATCAATCATCTCCACTCATCTCCATTCATCTCCCCTTTTTTCGTTTTTTGTTTAGTCCATGGAGACCCCGCCCTCCCAAATGTGCATTCCAAGGCGCTGCTGAGGGTGCAGCTGGTAAGGCTTCCTCCTCTCCCGTCGCCAGACCTTCCTCAGCACACTTGGCAGATGCGGGAAGACATTGGAAGACTGGGAAGGGTAAGCAATCAGAAACACCACATGATCCGTTTGGAATTGGTTGCAGTGAAGAATTGTGGGACACCCTCCTATTTATATCATTTATCCTTGGACGACCCTCTTATTTATAATATTTATATCTCCTGGACAGTAAGAAGTTCTCAAAACCATAAATCCGGCCAGTGATTCACTGAATCCGCGAAGAAAATCTCTCCTGAAATCCACCACCCCGTGCGACTTGTAACCCAAAAACGCGGCCACTGCAAGCCGGCTGCAAGCGACCGCAGCTATTCCAGAAAAATCCAAGTGACATCATCCGAGTACCATATTATACATATACTTTGAGACATGTAAATGGGCCATTACGTACTAAAATGGGCTAAAGTCATCTAAAGTCACTATATAATCTATATATATAAATATATATATATAGTCTATATACCTTGAGTAAGTCCAGCCATGGAACACCCATGGAACAAGCCACCCAAGGCCCTTGGAGCTTCCCTAAAAGTCGCCGGGTTGCATCGTCCGATAGCTCCACCGGAGGGGCCTGGGCTGTGACGCTGTGACGGCTCAGGCTCAGGTATAAGGAAATGCGCCATTTTGACCGTATAATTAATAAATATTAATAATTATGTAATATACTGCATATAAACAAATTAGAGTTGAATAATTTATTTGATTTCTAAATGCAGTTGCAGCATATCGTAGTTTTAATCCCAGGGTGCCGAACGCACTCGGCATTCCTGTGTGGCTCCCAATTCCCTGCGGTCGAAGCAGCCTCTGGTTCCGGAGGCACAGCCACCACCAAATCCATGGTCCTCAGTAAAAACGATGATAATCTCATCCGCTTGGTGAATCTTCAACCCATCCCCAAGTTTTTTTTCTGGCCGGGATCATTATCCCAGATTTGAAGGGAAATGATGGGAAATGTGGAACAGGAATGAAAAGGATCCGAAGCCATCCTTTGGCAATCGCAGCACTTGGCAACGCAACTTCAGACCAGGCGATTCGGCCTGCAGCCAGGCCACTTACCATTTGCCATGCCCTCGATGTCTTGCAACTTTGTGACATCATCCAGCGGCTCACTTCCACCGAAGGACACAGATTGGTACTTCCTCAGATGCCATGGGGCTTTGAGAGCCACAGGATTGAGATGGGTTGAGTAGATGAAATATATGAAATATGATGAAATCCATTCCGGAAACTGATAGCACCTGGTAGCACCATCGCCTGGCCGGTCCATCCATTCCTATGCACCCTGCTGAGCATCGGGTGGGCCATTACAATCAACGCGATTCGCTGTTTCAGCATGTTGATGGTCCTCAGCACATAAAAATTGCAGATAAAATTGCAGATGAATGGAGGGGCAACCTGCAGCAACCATCAGCAGGAAGTGGCATCAAACGACGCTGCTCAAGCACTTTTGCATTTTGACATATCTTGGTTTTGACTCTTTGCAGCGTTTCTGCATGGCGGGGTGTGAAACTGCTTGGCACCTCAGACTCTTCCAGTCTCTGGTGTTTTTTTCATGTATTTTCCACCAAGGGCCAAGGGGCATTCCCTTGCCACGATTCTTCTCATTGGATTGACCTCTGGCTGGAAACGACCAGCCATTGGTCATCCAATCCACCCATGTGCATTTGCACAGCAACTTCGGGGCCTCTCAGCTCAAGGTGCGATTTGGCAGCTGGCCGATTGGAGCCAATGATATCGCATCTGCGACACTTCGAATTTGTGCACATCGCAGTGACCAAAACGTCTACTGCTTAAAATTCATGTCTAAACTTAAATCCTTAAGATCCTTAAGGTCCTTCAGCAGGTTTCCTGTCGCTGGTCCGACTGATCCTGTGGAAATCTGCGGGTTGAAACTCGTCTGCCGTGGAGGTCTGAAACTTGATCCCACGGTCCTATCCAGGCAGTCGAAACGATGGACCCTGGCGCTCTGATGACCTAACATGCCACAACATCCACAAAGTGGCATATTTTAAATATAGCTGGAAAGGGCATTCATCATTGCTGCCACCTGGCATCTTTAGCATGATATGTTCCTTGTGTATATCTGTATATGTTTGTTGTGGTTTGAACCTGAGAAGCACTGGTGGCAGTCTTGGCTGTCAGCCCTGTGGCATGCATTATGCACAACGAGATATGTTGTGTACTGTATAGATGTGACATGATGTGACTATATATGTGTGTTACTAAATATGTCTATATCCAATGACATTATGTCCTATCAAAAACTACAGTAGGGTCTGTCAACAAATCACACCAAACCGTTCGCCAACATTAGCCAACTCGCAACTTGCCCTTTCCAATGGATTGATTCAAGGAAACATCTTACCGGAAACCCACAGGTTTTGCCCCAACAAATAGATCAACTAGGATTGCTCCTGCACGTCTTCCCCACCCATTCCGTAACATTAGCTCCCCAGCCAGTCAGCCAATGGCTCCTCCAACCGCTTACGGTAGTGCTTGCCATGTCCCGTCTGCGTCGAAAGTCTTTGCGACGCGATGCGTATCTTCGCTCCAACCTGGATCTGGTGGACCGTTTGGCATGGAATTCATATGGAATTCTGGATACGGCTGTCGATCAAAACCCCTGGAACCTTGGTGGATGTCCATCCCCAGAAGGCCCCGGAAGTATGCCATCAATATCAATATAAAATTCATAATAAATCAAGATAATCTCTGCAATGCAAATCAATGTGGTTTCATGTTTTTTTCTTTGGCAGGTTTCCACGTTTCCACTCATTCTACAAGGCACTCCTTTCGCGACGCTTCGCCTCGCAGCTTGCGCTCCTGGATCTCATGGTGGCGACTCTCACTGTTGGCCGAAGAGCAGCCCGACCCGGCGAGGTCGGTATAACTACTCCGCTGCACCGTGGAAGCACGGCCCACGGGCAGCAAAGGCTCCTGAAAATTTGCGCTGCATACGCGGATTGGCGCTAGCTGATAACCCTTCCAGGAACACATCCCTCATGACATCAACTTATCTGCATGTCTGTTCCCTAAAAGTTGAAACATCTCAAAAGAAGATCCCATCAATGCCTTCAAATACTTGAAATACATTGAAATACTTGATGTCTGAATCAACTCTCACAAAAAAAAAGTGGTATCAAGTGGTGATGTTTTGCTCCTTCACCACAATCAGGCTGTCATCTGATTGCCTGGCTTTCACCTGCTCATCCCGATAGGTGTCCCCCAGGTGCAACACTGGGCCACGTCCGCAGAGGTCAGCGCTGCCGGCATTGCCGATGGCCATCCATGGGAGCCCTCAGTTTATACATGTTTATACCACCCGGTTACCACCCGGTTACCACCCGTTTCCAGCAATTCTAGTGGGATGAGTCAGTGAGCATGCTTTATATATCTTTATATCACCCATTTCCAGTGTATGTACGCATCATGATATATGAATATCTTATAAGTCATTGAGGATGGTTTATGGCTTTGAACTTACCACAGCTTCATGCCATGACTCGAATCTTCTCTTCCTCAGCCACATCCTTCTTTTGGAACTTGGCATTGCAGGATGCAGTGGTCTTGAACAGCGTCTGACTGAAGCCGAAGTAGCCTGGGCCAGAGATGTCCTTTTGCTGAACCGAGATGCTTGACTAAATAGGGGGCACCCGCATTCTTCCACAACCAACATGCAAATATTTATAGCGCAATTGTTCTTAACCAATATGATAGACACCAAATAATGTAATCATTAGCAGAGCATTAGAGTATAAATGTATAAAGTACAAGTATACTGTAAATGGCCCCCCAACCCTAATCATCCTAATCCCTTCATGTTCTATTCTTTTCCCCCAACTTCAGGCCTGCGGGTGGTTGCTGCCTTGTGTCATACTCATCTTCATCCTCCGGACTGATGGCATGCCATCCCGGCAGCAGTTGTTGCGAGACAAGGGCGGGAAAATGTGCGTCCACATGGAAACGCCTGGCCCGTTGCCTCCAGAAGCATTCCTTCGTCTCATCGCTCTCGGCCGCCGTCTCAGCACGCTTGGCCGCCTGGGAGAAGCGAAAACGGACGTGATGGGCAGCATTTTTTGCTGGATCAGAGTTTTCAGAGAACCATATAAACAAAAGATACAAAAAGAAATGCCAATGTTCAATGATTGGTGATCCCAACCCATCCCAGAAAATAAAAATTTGCACAACCATCCACAAGTACAACGGGAAAGAAGTGCTGTATATATCACCAGCGAAGCAATCATCAAAGAAGATCAAACAACATCAAATAAAATGTAAGCAAAGTTTTTCAGTTTGAACTTTGACAATTTTTTACATCCAGTGTCTTTTCGGGCAAAACGAGTTGTCTTCGATGGCCACACATCTGACACCACCATGACGTTGTAGCGACGCAGCTGCCCCCGCTGCCCGGAGCGCCGCTGCGACGGCAGGTTGACCACTAGGGATTCGCAGGGGTCGCGAGCCCACCAGCGCGACATGGCGTTTGAGCCAGGCCTACAAAATCAAATGCTTTTGGTATCATGTCAAGTCATGTCATTTATGATCATTTAAAATCATTTATGCCTGCACCTCACTCTCCTTCGAGCCTTCCACCTCTACATATTCAATATATATATATATATACATTTACATAATAAGTAATTATAATTATCTATGTATGCGTGGGTGCGTGTGAGAGAGAGAGAGAGTGCCCGCGTCTAGACAAATACACTGTCACATGCATGCATGTAAAAAACAACATATACAAAAACTACTTGTATGTAGGAAGGACATATCGGCATATGTGACCGTGTTTGTGTGTGTGTGTGCGGCATAGCTGCCAGTTCAAGGGTGCCCAAATTGCAGTATTTTGTGACTGGGAGCGCGTCAGGTATTGATATATGACGCACCTTTGTACTAAAAAATGCCTTAAAAAAACAATAAAAAAAATAATGGTCCATTTCACGCGGATGGGCGTGCCTGCCCTTTGCACAATTTTACTGGACATAGTGTGGCTCATGAAAGCAAAGGAGCAGCAATAAAGACAGGCACCAACCTCATCAATTATACTAATTGGATCCAGCTCTGCCAACTCAACCAATGCTGGGATCATCTGGAATCTCCCACCACTTGAACTATGATGAAATGCTGACTGTGCAGCCTGGGCGCGCATGACCCTCGATCTGCAGCGTAAGGTCATCACCAGGTTTCCACTTGGTGCCTTTCTTGCTGTTAATGGCATCGTTGTCCATGCCTGCCCCAGGATCCCCAGGATCCCCAGGATCCCTAGGCCTCCCAGGCCTCCCTGATTGATGATTGATGTGAAACAAGTTGAAACTGATTCACAGCATCTCTGCTCCAAGTCGCTTGCGATTTTCACCTTAATGGTCCACTGCTCCGCCATGGCGCCAAAATGACACGACCCCTTGGTCCGTTCTCGGCGCAAAATTCAACAAAATGGCTGCAAGAAGGAGCCACACATTGTCGAACTGGATGATTCACATCTTGTCTGGGTTGGTCGGAGTCTGGGCTTCCTGGTACAATCCGTGTAATCATTTTTGACTCCTGTCTGCCACGGGTCCTCTGACTGTGTGACTTCATGTTTGTGTATTGCATGGTCAAAAAAAATGCCTGCAACTTATTTGCTTTACTCATTTTTACAGCGGGAAAAAACGTGTACATATATATATACAATATATATATATACAATATAAATATATATATATATATATACAATATATATATACATACAATATATATATATATATATTATATATATTATATTTATATATATATATGCACGCTGTATTTATTATATAAACATATAAACCACTTGTTCATAACATAGGTGTGGTCAACATTTTCTTACTGTTGCTTGGGTTGGGCAGCTGTCCTTAAGCACTGGATTGACATTGCCGCCTTCGCCCAACGGAAACCACATCTTCACCACAACCTCTGCCAAGCTGGGGACATGGATTGAGGCTACAGGTAGAGCTTGGATCATCTTAGATTCCCATGATATAATCATGACATCCCATGGCAAAATGTGCAAATAGCATCAAATAGCATCAAATAGCATCACATATTATGCTGTTTGGAACTGTCCATTCCGTGGTCCCTATCTTCATCCGATATCTTAGATGTCTTAGACCTGATAAAGGATAAATCAGGATCATGATAAATCATGATACAACAAATTGTAGAATCAAACCCAATTCCGTGATCCGCATCTTTTGGTAGCCCCGCTGTGACTTTTGCGGCTGTCAGTGGCTACGCTACAATGGATTTGAGTCCTCTTCTGCAGGAACATCTGCATCATCGGCCCAATTTCATGCTGCTTAAACGTCTTGCCGCACTTCTCAAAGGCACAATCCATTGACTTCGCAGCCATTTATGGGAAAATGCCAGCCGGGCAAGCTCACCTACTACACTACCTAAACATCTGCTGCGCGTCAGATCAGAAGTGTGGCAAAGCTTTGATGAGCCTTGTAGCAGTAGCACCTCGCGTGGTGGTTTGGTCTGGATCCCTGCATCCATCGGGTGTTGGGGATGTTTCGGAGTCAAGTCCTGGAAAGAACCAACGATACAGATCGATACGGTACAAGTAGAACTAACTACATTGCTTTCTTATGAAACATGACCAGCTTTGGAAGAACCCCCGGAACTCCCTGTATGGGTTTGCCGATGTGGCCCCATTTGGTTGATCATCCTTTTCCCTCAAAATTGCCATGTTGTGGTTAAATTCCTCATTTTCAGACACACCCATGTTTCCGCTTTTCGGGCAATCATGTGCGGGTATACGGTATACCGTACAGTATACCCCCCCCAAAAAAAAAAAATATATATATATATATACGTATATATATATATATATAGCATGTGTACTTGGGGGAACTGAGGTGCTCCATTTTTAGACAAACCCATCAGGTCATGCCTCAGCGTTTGCGCCGGCGCCGCCGGCTGCGGCGCGAGCTGCTGGAGCGTCTGGCAGTGTGATGCAGTATGTAGGATGTTCTATGTGTTGTTCTGTTTATATTTATAAGTTTATAAGAGTTAATTGATGTAATAATTGCGTTTGTGTTTGCATTTTAGGCTTTCTTGAAATGGAAGCAGCCCAAAACCATCCAACATACAGTATTCCTAAATGACATTAAATGACATGTTTAGGGATGTTTAGGGGAGAAACCAACCGTGGAGTAGGACCGAGGGGTACCTCGCCTTCGCCGTGCGCGAGTGGGCACTTGCTGGCCCAGCTGTGCCTCCGTCACCAGAGGGTAGTCTTGGAAATTCATCCGTTTATATAGATGATTTATATCAATTTCTATATTTACATTGATTTATATATATATATAGATTCCTATCAAGAATGGTGTTTTTTCCACAGCTATGTCAAATTAACAAAGGATACCCGAACTATCTTCAATAGTACCTGCGTCAATGCAGCGACATCTTTACGGTCATGTCCTTTCCTGCCACCTGGCCTTTCCATCCCTTTCCCTTACAAAGCTGGTTCTCCTGGCATACCCATCCATGGCCATATCAAATGAACCCAATTTTTCCGCCAGGCAATCTGTACAAGTCTGGTCCCACAAAACGGGACACGAATGGATACGACCCAAAACGACCACGTCTTCCCACGGTCACTACGGGGATCTCCACGGTCTACGGATCTACGGGGTGATGAGCACGCAGCAGGTGGGACAAATGGCGACGGCCGCATTTCCCGTGGCATTTCCCTTGTCCGCACGAAGGAGGTCCTGTGGATCCTCAATGGTGCGCTTGGCCTTGCAGTCACTGCACGTCACAAAGATGTGCTCTGGCGTTCGGCCCTCCAAACGGATCTCGGACATGAAGGCCTGAGACATGATCTCGGAATAACATCAAAATATATCAAAATATCAATGGATCAGTTGCAAAACCAGCAACCTGCAGCGTGAAATGATGTGAAATGTATTGAAGAGTGCCAAATGGTTCAAGATATCTCAAGATTCATTAGACCATAGCCATGGGCCATAGATCATGAAATATCGTGAGCCTTGTAAATTGCCGCCAGCGTTCTGTACTTTTCACTACCAGATCTCATTATGAAGCACACTGCCAATATCCTCCTGGTTTCACTCCAAGAATCCCTAAAAATAAATCCATTTGGTAAACCCAAAAGAAGACATCCTCAAGATCACTAAAAATTGATCTTATCAATCCTCCAAAAAGGAGTCTTACGAGTTTTATGATTAGTTTTGAATAGTTTTGACCACATTTGAACTATCACATACTATCACCAATCTCAGGGCCAAGGCTCTATCCTTCGCAGTTTCGCCCCTTCCACCTTGGTCCCTGCGAAGGTGGAGAAGATCGGGGTCCCCGCCATCACCAGCTGCTGGATCTGCTGCTTGGCCGGTGCCCCACAGTGGGACCAGGGCAGGTCCGCCGTGGGATCCGTGCCATCGTTTCGCTCCTCCTCGGAGCGGACCTCAACGAATTTTTTGCGGATCGATCGGATCTTGGAAAAAAAAATGATCCAAAGTGGATCAAGGGGGGTTCACTGGGGGTTTCCATAAATAGTCATTAATAGTGATTAATAGTGATTAATAGTGGCTAATGATGGTTTATGATGGCTGATGGCTTACTGATGGCTTACTGTAATGATTTGAAGAGGTAATGCTGAATGTGTACATTACATAGACAGAGAGGGAGAGAGGGAGAGTTATGTGTATATACTGTATACATGTGCATATATGTTCTAGATTCTAGAAACATGCATGCATACATATATCATCATATCTACATATATGTATATATAGTATGTGCGTGTGCATTATAGAACTGGAATAATAAAAAAATGATGATACAGTAGAAGTGTGAAGTGGGGATATTGACCGCTAAAATGGGGATGTCAACACAAACGGAATCAAGAACATGTTGGGAGAAGAAATGCATCCAGGTAGCAGAAGTGACGTCAGGAACAAAATGTTGCAAAGTCTTCAGAATGCTTTCCTGCAGGGTCACTGCACTTTGAGGACAACCCCGGCAGGCCCCTTGCAAGCATAATACCACCTCTCCAGTGGATCGGTCCCAGGACTTCAGCTGAACATCCCCACCATCTTCTTGGACCGAGGGTCGAATGCGATGCTCCAACACTTCCAGGATCTCTGTTGCATCTGCATCCAGAATCGTCGAATCGTCCACTTGTTGCTCTGCTTCAATATCTGGAAGGCTTTGCAAAAAATCTTTCAGTTGAGGAGCCAAGACTTGCCACTCGGTCCCTGACTGTCTGGTGATTGCTAGCCACGTGCCAGACAAACCTTCGTGCACAAGGACGTCTTGCACACCCGGCACTTCCAGCAACTGCGACTTGGTGCTCTTTGGGACGCCGGTGTCACTTTGAAATTTCCAAACGTTTGGATTTGGCGTCTCCTGAAATGCCCAGGTACCAGCACTGCGGCCACTCCAACACAGCACACGGGCCACTTGCCGTCTGAACGGTGAGGAAAAGCCTTTTAGCATCTCACGAGGCTAGCGCCGTAGGTCTGTGAAGTCAAGAGACAGTCAGAAATAAGAACTTAGATGAACTTACTACTGCATTGGCATCATCTGTGGCTGGTTTATAGTTTATGGGATTTCCATATGGAATTAATCCCCAATATGTTGTAATGTGTTGGATCTGTGGCTGCTTCATCTTGCTGTCCTTTTTTCTTTTCATTATCTTGTAGCAGTCTGACCAGCTCTGCGTGTCTTAGGATTTTGGTATTTTAATAACTTAGCATTGGTAACAAGTAGGACTGCCGTCAATAAGAGTACCGGAAAGGGCACAGGACACATCTAAGGCCAGCCCGAAAACTGGTTGTGGACCTCCCCAACGTGTTGACATGACTGTTCTTCCATAATATATATATATACACATGTTTGATCATGTTTGTATTCACAAACTCCTGATGACCACACGCACTCACAATGCCCCGCTGATTTTTGTTGCATGTCTTGACGAGAGCGTTAATATAGCGTTAATTCACATGCATTGTAAAGCAAATTATAGGCCCATGTGTGGCACTCTGTCAAAGTCTGCAAGCAATGGAGATGAAATGGCCGAGGTGCATAGAGTGCACGGCTCTGAGGAAAAGACTGCACCCTAATATTTAATATGCAAGGTTATTTTCATCTTTATGAAGCTCAAAGCAAGCCGAAATATATAGCTGGGTAAATTATAATAATTCACTAACCTGAAATAAGGCAATTTTGGATGATTTCGCTTATTCACCATGATTCCAGTGAGGTCGCAGTGAGGTCGTTATAATTTGCCTAGGGTTTGTGAATGGATGTGAGTTTCAGAAAACTGCAAGCTATAAAAACAGGAATCAAATCGTAACTGCCTGTTACTGAGGCCTCAAGTTTCTTCAACTTGCTTGGTGTTCGACATTCACAACAAAGGCTATATAAAGCTCGCTATGATTTCCTTGTGCACATCACCTTTCCAAGGTCTACCGGTTATTTTTAACAGGCGCTGCAGATCGGCACGTGACAAAATAGCCACAGCCGCCGTGCACAACAGCCGCAACACCACAGCCGAAGGCCTGAGAGAAGTGTTGCGCGAAAGCATCAAAGTGTTGAGCCATGAGGATTTGCATGACCTCGGACAGTCATGGATGCACGTGGATTGTATTGTATATATTGTATATTAGTACACATGTAATAATAATGATTAATAATAATAATAAATATATATAATAACAATAATAATAATAATAGAAATAATTTATCTATGTTATTTTGCACACAGGATTGCACAGGCAACCGTAAGTTGACAAGTCACTTTGTATGATCGAACCAGCATGCAGTGGATCAACATGAAACAATTCAGGAATGGCTGAGGATGCATGTTTTTGCACCTCTGAGATAGCCATCATGAATCATAAGTCTCTCTTTTAAATAAAAACATCACGAGTTCCAATAAAACATGACTTCGGAAATCAGGACTTGATCATAAATAATCATAAACACATATACCCTCTGGTTATTTAACATAGCCATGGAAAATGGCCCATTTATAGATGGTTTACCTGGTACCTATTAAAAATGGTGATTTTCCATGGCTATGTTAAATAACCAGATGGTAAATAGAAGATCCCACCAAGCTCCCAAGATGCCACCCTTCTCCATCCTTCTCCCTTTTCTTCTTGCAGCCAAGCGGTACCCTCGAATGGTGCGCCCCATGCCCCGGGCCCGTGGAGCGATGCGCCAAGGCATGGCAAAACTCGCCGAACCAAAAGCTGCTCTCCGCTGCGGGGCGCAGCCCGGCAGAGAACAGCAAGGGCCAATGGCGCCGCGCACCGTGGTGGCAATCGCCTCAAAACTGGAGACTCGGAGTCTCCAAAGCACTGATAGCACTGGTCATAGGACAACATGATACAACTAAAATCAACTAATGTGGTAAAACATGGTAAAACCAATAAACTTAAACCAGCCCAAAATCACAATGGGTGGGATTGAAACCATCCGCAAATGATAGGTTGATTATTGATGATTATTGGGTTTCCATATTGTACGGATATCATTCTTCATTATATACCATGATTTAGGGCTTAAATGATAATTATCCGGGATATGCAGTATGGGGAATCTAGGAAAATAAGTTAATGGCGATGACGATGGCAATGACCACCAATTCCGAAACAAGCTGCAAATAGCATCAAATAGCATGATGTAGCTGAGATTCAAGCGGCATATCATGGGGGCAAGTTCCAATTCAAAATTGTAGTTCAACAAGTTTAGTGGTGGCATATAGCCAAGAATGCCAACAATATATGCCAATATAGTATTTAAAAAAAATCAGGGATCCCAAAATGAAAACAATCCACTACTCGCCTAATATTTCACAGGATGTATCTAATATCAGGGGCAAAGGATTATGTCATCAGGATGAGATGCTGCTCTTGTGATGCAGTTTCAGAAATGGCAAATCAATGCAAATCATCATATCACAAAGTGCCATCCAAATATGGCCAACAGCTCACTGCAGCTAACTTGCCATCTGCCTTATAAAGCTCATTAGAGATTCTTTATTGAATGGCATTCCCTTCCCAGTTCAGTCTCACGCCCACCTTTATCATCCTGCGTCGTCACCACATCTCCATTGACGATGGCCACACAGTCGCAGTCCAACTGAAAGACGGACACCAAGCCCCTCAGCGGTGGCTTTGAAGGTTATTAATCGTTCCAGCTAGGGATGGAAGAGGCCATCCATTTTCACTGTTTTTGGAAGCACATTTATTCCTTTTGTGCTGGACTTCGAGCCCTTCCTCAAACCATTAAGACAACGGCGCAAAAGCATGCAAAAGTGCCAAAAAATGCAGCAGAAGCGCGGAAAACAACCAAGAGAAATGTCAAACGCCCACGGGTCGACACGCCGACCAAAAAGAGAGCGCCACAGCTTTATACTTTAGGCACTTTAGGCTTTCAGGGAGCGTCACCTTTTTCGTGCTCTGTATGGTTTTTTGGCACACTTGATGTTCCAGGCCAACGAGTTATCAGTTATCACAGTGCTGGCAAAGGTCTGCAGCACCACGGCCAGGTCGTCCAGCTCTTTCTCCGAAGCATCCTCAGCGGATACTGCACAGAGTGGATTGATACAAGGGGAGAAAAAAAAAAAACATTTAAAAAATGGAGGAGGAAAAAAAACATTTGAGAGACTGTGATATTAAAACGTATTAAAACCCTAACCTATGGTTCCCTGCTCTAATTTTCCGCAACGATCGTAAACCCCAATCCATTGATCCTCTGATGGTCCTCCCTGGATGACTCCCATGATATCAGTTTCAGCTGCGCAGCATCAATAGGATCAGCCCACTTTTCTTGGCAGATTCTAAGTTGTCCCACGAGGGGTTGGAGTGGTATTTCAAATGGCCAGCAAGCCAAGCTGTTCCGGACACTTTGGCTCCCGGCTTCGGCTGTTTCTGCCAAAGCCCCCAACCCCAGGCCCCATTCAAATGCCGTGCAGATCCGTGCAGAGACTGACCAAGCTCAACATTCGATGGTCTGTGGATTCTCTCGGTCCGAGATGGTCCGAGATCACAGAGAAAATCGTAGTCGTAGCTGGTGGTCAGTGATCAAAACTTAGTCACCGGGAACTCCTGCAACATCACGCCGCTACACTGTCTGTGCCAGGTGCCCAGCGGCCAATAGGGATCGTTGGGCTGCTGGGGTCGGGGGATGTCCTGGGCGACTGGTCTTCAGCCGAGCCCAAGCCTAACCGTTGGCTACGGCTACCTCGAACTCACCCTCGAGTCCAAAAAAGGAGGGCGGACAGCACCGACGGAGCCAACGAATTCTTTGTGAATTATTTAATTATGGGTTTTATGGGAGATTGAAGTTGCAAAGGAAGCACTAGACAATGAGAAGCCTCCTCTCAGCATCAATCTCAGCATCAATCTGATCAAGAGCTTTTAGCCAGCTCAAATAAAGATGTGCCTGATCTTCCTGGAACCTGCGCCCGTCTTGTTGGTTCAGAACAACATGCAGCTGAGGGGTTCCTCAACCAATATATAATATCACGAAATCTATGATGAACTGGTGGTTTGTTTAAGTCAGAGACTTAGTAGTCCAGAAACCCGTTCACATATTTAACAATTTTGAACAAATCATCTTACTACGCGTGATCAACCTGGGGCACCTCCTTGATCACAAAGCACCAACACGATCCTACAATGAAAGACTTTGGAATGCAGGCCCAACGCCTTCCCAATCGACAACCCGTTCTGCAGCCATAACAACAAACCAGGCCAGCAACCGGCAACCGGGGCAAGCGGAGTAAGCGGAGTAACCGGGGGTAACCAGGGTAACCGCTTGCCTCCACATTTTTTGGGAGATGAAGTCCTCGATCTCCTCACGATCTTGCTGAATGAGTGAGCAACGTTGCGAAATCTGTGGAGTCAAGTGGGTATGGATCAGAATGACCTCCACGAATGGGATTGTTGGAACAACAACCAGCAAAATGTGCAGGCCCCTGGATCTCCATGTTGGTAAGTTTTGTGCACATCTGACCCTGCATCAAAGTGCCATCATATCATTATCCATGTTTCCGTTTATTTCTAATGAGGCTTCTGGCACGTCAGAGCCTGCAAAGCAATCAACATGTGACATCATGACATGTGGGCATCATGGAACTGCTAAGAAGTCATTGGAGTGCTATAAAAACATTTAAAAACTATGGAAAGCTATGGCTATGGGCCTGGGGACATGAACCAACAGCAGCCAAGGATGAGATCCCCAAGCTGTGTCAGCAAAGGGGCTGAGGCTGTGATCCACTGCACACTGGAGACTTCGTGGTCTGGCTCTTTGCCAGGTTCATGTTGCTGAAGATAGCACCTCCCACAAGGTCACTCATACCCGGAAACAGCGTGGTCACCGTTCTTGCTTTGACCCACCCCCACCAAAGAAAAAAAGACACAACGTTGTCGGCGTCGTCGTCGTCGTCGTCGTCGTCGTCATCATCATCATCATCATCGTCATCGTCATCGTCATCATCAGCATCTTCTTCTTCATCTTCATTTTCATCTTCATCATCATCAATCCCTCTAACCACAACCATCACCCAGCCGGCCCAGCCTGTAGATCCGGAAGCCATTGCGCACGGTAGCTAGGAGCTCCCGTGCGCACTTTGTAGCCGGACTCCTCCCAAGTCTCCCTCTGGGCTGTGCGCATAGCTGGCTCGCGCCAGTCTGTCTGCCCTGAGGGGCTACCGATGGTAATGGAGTTTGAGACTGGGATGCCCACTGGCTGCACAAGGCCACATTGGTTTCAAGTGGGGCCCCAAAACAAGCCAAACTGACACTTGAAGGAGGCAAATCTCTGTGGCTTTGAATTCCATTGAACCGCTGGGCCACCAAAAACCTTGAGAAGCGATCCTGCCTCCTGGGATGTCGAACTTGTTCCCATCATATGTCAACTTGATCACAAGCATCTTGTTGCCGTCTGTGATAAAGCAGCCTTTTCAAGTAATTAGAAGGAATTGAAAGGAAATGGCAAATTCCCCAGAGGTGTTCATAGGTGTCCACTGAACACACCGGTTTGTGACCCAAATTGGGAGAGATTTCAAGAGTTGTCGGCTAGATCTGGCCCTGCAATCCTATCAATGGTGATGCAATAGAGCAAGCGGATGCAAGTGGATACTGCAATTAATCTTAGTGAAGAGCGACATCAAAAAATGATGATTGTTTATCTGAAAATTCTTTTGAAACATCCAGTTGTAAGTTCCTTCAAACCCATCAATGATCCATATTTTTGCAGGATTTCCAATGACAGCACCACATCTTTTTTCCCAAATTCATAGCCGCCGTAGATCCAGGATCCCCAGGATCCAGCCTGCATCAGCAGGGGAGGCATCACTCACCGATCTCTCCGGCTTCGCCATCAGGAAATAGATCACCAGGGAGATGATGTGTCCAAGCATCACCACGGCGCCCATGGCGCCAGCGCAACTCGATTTGAAAACTCGGAGAAAATCGAGTTTGGATCAGACTCTGAGGCAAAATATGGCTGCAGGATGAAGTCAAATCATGAAGACTTTTATGGAGATGGAGATATTGATAGCTATACACTGATTCATTTACATGTATGTATATATATATATATATGGATATAGACAGATAGATATCAGAATGTGATTTAATGATCTACTCAATTTACTCCCAGCGTTTCCGCTTTCCGAACTGTGCTGACGGGTCGCATATCCTCGGGCCAGCTCCAAGCCTCTCATCTCTAAGCGTTGCACACGGTACACGGCCACACGCTCGCCACGCCTGGAGTCTGGAGCGGATAGATCATCTGCCATGGGAATTTGGAATCCAAACATCATTGCTATATGATGGATATACCCTTTGGTAATTTAACATAGCTATTGAAAATGGCCATAGAAATATATAGAAATAGTGGATTTACCCATGAAAAATTGTGATTTTCTATAGTTACGTTAGTTTACCAGAGGGTACATGGGTATTTAATGGCTATAGGATGGGATGGATGGGTGTATAATGGGTGTACAATGGGTATCCCTATTAGCCTATGGATTGATGACCATCCCCCAGTCGGACTGGGTAATACAATCCAACTTCGACAGGTCAGCATTGATTACACAAAGATACACAAAGCGCATTGATTTCCACATTCTCAGTATCTATCCAGCAACTAACCTAAATAATGTTCAATTGTCCAGTATTGCCACTCTCCAAATATATTGAATAATATGTGTATGTATATATATATAATTATATATATATATAGCCGATGACCCAACTCTACTCATCGATAATCCAATACAATAATATTATATATTATATAACTATATATATATATTATAATCCTGATTATTGAACTATTATTCCAACAATCCAGTACGATAATCCAGCAATAATCCAATAATATCCAATAGTAATCCAGTAATGATCAGGACAATAATCCAGTACGATATCCAGGATACCGTGGTAAAATGCTTCAGTAATGATCCAATTGGGATTAAAATGGATTAACAAACAGCAACATATGGGCAAACTATGGGTAAACCATGGGTAAACTCAATCATAGACCATCAACAATCATCCAGTACCATGCTATCCTCGAAGTCTGCCTCCCCCGCGCATGGCCCGCTCGTCGCAGGCGCCGTTCCGGCGCGGCTGGGCAGCGCACGGAGCGTGCCGGCAGGGCCGGAGCCACTAAGTTCTCAGTGTGCTGCCAGGGGCTGCCGGCTTTCAGAGGGATTGAAGCTAGGATAATCCGGCAATTCGCCGGCAATATTCTATGCGCCGTGGAGATTTCGGAGAATTCTTGGGACAGAAAACAAGGAGAATTCAAAGAAAAGACTGGGGAGTTTGATGATCTTTGGAGCGCCTGGTTTCCAGTCAGCCGACAGTCTCTGAACCGGGGCTCCCCAGTCCGAAATGCAGCTGTCATCTGCGGGCAAGTTGCGTCCTCATCTCCAGAACTATGGCCGCCGCCACCAGGGCGTCGACGCAGTGATGCTAAAGCCTAGCATCATTTGATGATAGTGACATGGTGACTATGGTGATCTTCAATTGCAACAAAACAACATGACAGCATCTCCCAACATGCCATAGGCTGGAATATTATCCAATCATATCCAATCTATATACATATATCATTAAAAATCATTGAAATAACTTGAAATATCAGCCATTCTCTCTGTTATCATTTCAGCATCATTTGGAGGTTTCATAAGGTTTCTATGAATAGGGGCACCTCCTCAGCCGCTGCCAGCGCATCACCCTCCGAAGTTCCGCTTCCTCGTCCATCGCCCAAGGCACGGAGCAGCTCGTCAGGAAGGCCTAGCCTCGGTGAACGAATGATGTTGAACGATGTCTTTCGAAACCAAAATGTATAGTAAGCATGATGATTAGTTCTAACATTAATAACGATTCGCCAAAAAATGAAACCATTAGTTATCATTAATGAATAAACTCATGTTTTGACATCATGATTTCATTAATAATTGGTTGAATATGGTTTCATCGCTCTGTTTTTTTGACCTATGGAATTTCGATCAGCGCTGTACGCCCAGGGGCTCGTTCACTGCCTTGGAGCCCAACTCGCTCCCGAAGCTACCGAAGCCGAAGCCTCCGGGCCTGCTTCGGTTTTCTGGCACCGAAGATCACCGTTACGGGGACTTTTTGTGCCACAATCTTGGCTCAGTTGGATGATGGAACTATGATAAATGGATGTACAGTAAATGAGATGTAAAATAGGATGTAAATGAACTAACCCAAAATACCAAGTGTGCATGCCAGTCGGTTGATAGGGATCTGTCTGAGCGATATCATGACGACATGAACCAGCAAAAATGTGGGCAACCAACTAAGAATGCAAGAATGGGAAACCCACAAAAAAGGATGCATCATAATTTGAAAGCACAAAACCAAACCAAAACAATGACATAATCATTCATAAACCACCCTCAAACAAGCAGTTAGAGTACGTATGGTACAGTACCATAACACTTCAAATATGTGAGGCACTGAGGACTGTCAACAAATTGAGATCGTCCCTACATCCATGATGTCAACTCAAGCCAATGAAAACTAATTGGCATAGTTGCCTTACAATACTATTGGCATGTTTAGTAAGTATATTGGATGATAAACTCAACCCAATGATAAACTCAACCAATAGAATCCAATACAGTATACTTACTGAACATCGCCAATTTCACAGCTCCCCTGCCTCGAGATGCCTCCCCGCTTGCCGTGGTTCACACGTGCCAGGATGCCTTCCCGTAGCCCAGCGGTGTCGACCACCTCAACAGGGCGTGTGCAAAGACTATCAAAGACTGGGCCAAAAATGTGCCAAATCATGACTGAGAGACTAAGATCACCAGTTGAATCTCTCCAAATATTAATTCATGCAGTATTTATTCATTGTATAATAATCATCATCATCATAATAATCTTCACATCATGTGGCCTGCTTTCCCATTGATCTTTTCCCGGTCATCCTCCTTCCGGCACCGTGCCGTACCGCGCCTCGCGCACTCCGAAGCACTCCACGAAGAGCGGTTTCAGTTCCGGCGGAAAAGCCAGGCTCATGGCCCAGGCTGCAGCAGGAGAATCCGCCAAGTCAGGCGCCACTTCCCAGAAGGACTCGCCTCGAGTCCAAAGGATGGGGGAATCATGGGCTGCCATGGGAAATCAATGGAAGTCAATGGAAATCATGGGCTGAGGTATGGCATTATGGGTCACAGTTGAAGACACAACCAAAGAGACAATCTGGTTGACGGGCTTGTGACCCCATATGGCCCGAGTGACAAACAGAGATTCTTCGGAAGAGAGCTCCGTCATAGAAGCGCGCCACCTGGGAAAACAATGAAGGACAACAACTCAGATGTCGGCATCAAAATGAATTCAACATGTATGTGTTATTTTTTGCCAGGGCCTCCAACACACTGTATGTGGATGCGATCAGGAACATCATGTGTCATCATATATTATCATATGTGAATCAGTCATCGTATATCATCATATCATCCTACAAGTGTCTACAAATATCTTAAGTGTGTAGTATAATCACATCCTCCACATATCTTAACCCTATTAAATCATATTAAATCTACCATAATCTACCCCCCCCCCATGTGGGTCCCAACCTACGGCCCCATGGCTTCGCGGCTTCGCCTCCAGCATCGAGGAGACCTGTGGAGGACCCCCCTGTGGGCAGGGCAGCGGCACCAGCAGAGTGTGCACCGGGGAGAAGGGTCGCAGGGCATCGCGCTGCTGACCTTCCAAGGAGGACATGCCTGGCAGGAGCTTCCCAAAGAAAAATACTGCGATTCTGAAAAAGATCAAAAAGGTGCTGCTGAACTGTGTATGTATGCTTATATATATATATACATATGTGTGTGTGTAGGTTGATATCGAGGGTATGGAGGTATTCATCCTTATTCCTCCATGGCATTTCACCCATTGACCTAACATTCACCGGGGTTTATCCAGCTCATCCCGGCTCCCTGGATGTCCTTTGTAGATGAAGAGCAAGGCGTCCCAGACTTGGTTCAGAAAGTCTACAGCGCCTGGATCGCTCAAGCATAACGGGCTAGGGCTTTTCTTCAAATAGAATGCTATATGCATAGAGAGAGAGAGAGAGATATATATACATATACATATATATATATATATTCATTTACTTATTTCTTTTTTAAAAAATATTTAGCTATAGTATATACATATATATATATACTATGTAGCACAAAATCGCGACTCATGGTGTGAGTCCTGAAAAGTTGATTGATCAGGTAAGTCTTCCGTGATGAAAATATCATCAGCTCATTTCATCTTTCAGGATGATTCAGGATGCCTATACCATCCTATACATCATTAAACATCCTATATACATCCTATAAACCATCCTAAAGCTGAAATCTGCATAACATGGGCTGGTGTGAAAACATGTGAAAACAGGGTACCCCAACATTTTGTGGATTGTCAGCAGTTTACCTTCTGTAAAAAATTGCCATTGGGGAGTCCCCCATTTTCAGACAAACCCACCCATGTCTGGCATCTGTCACTGGCTTGTCACCGGCATTGTCCGAGGCGCCAATTCGGCTCGCGCCATTGGGCTTGGGAGAGCCGGGCAATGTGACCTGCAGGGCACCAGTATTTATTGAGTGTTTGCTACCTATGCGCTCTACATACAGGACCTATGCATTTAATTGTGATGAATCCTGTATATAATAACTATTGCGTTGCTTCTACGTAGTTTTATGGTCTCCGCACGTTCCATGGTATAGGCTGCAATAGCCTTGGTCTCTTGATGGTCTGGCTATATATACATGAAGCCAAAGATGCCAAAGGCTGAGAATCATCGTATCAAGCTCCACCCGAAACTGCATCTGCTGACAGGTTGCTAGTGCCATCTCTGGATTTCCTTCAGCTCTGCGCCATGCTTTTCCAAGTTCCTGAATACGATGGTGGATGATCAATCCTGAGGATACCCCGGGGTGGGGGTCTCCAATCTCTGGGATAGATGGATACTTTCTGCCGCTTTTCTTCGCGTGCGCATTCTGAATGGCCCCTCGGCCCCTGCCTCTGCAGCATCCATCAGATTCTGACACATCCGCAGGTAGGATTCTGCCGTGTTGGGCATGGCTGGCACGCCACGTGCCTCGAAGTAGCGCTTCAGCTGCACCTGAGCCGTTCGACTGCCCGTCATTCATCGTCATTCATCGTCATTCCATACCATTCCATCGTCATTCCGCCCACTGGGAGGCCGCACATCACCAAAGGTGGTGTAGATATCGCGCAGAACTGTCAAGCTGCAGCACCTGTCGCGCATCTTAACCCCAGGATACACCAGGACTCCAAAATCATTGGATCCGACGTCGGATCGTCCCATCTTTGGCCGAGGTGCTGTGCCAGCAACTCGTTTTTCGGCAGCTCCCAGACACAATCATTGGCTTTCACGGGGTCGGGCAAGGCCTCGAGCCCCAGGACACAAAGCTGCCCCATGGACTGTCATGGAAAACGGATGAAAACGGTGTTTGATGATCAAAACTGTGATTGAGAGGTCCAGCACGCCAGAATTCCTTTGAAGTTGCACCGTTTGTCTTTCTGTTTGGATCAGTTGCGGTGTAGACAAAACAGGTCCCAGGAGGGGCTTCTTTTGCTGCCGAGTCTACTGGATCAAAGATGGACTGCTGAAGAAAATGTTCCACTTCGACTGCATGCTTGGCATGGCCTGGCCGAAGCTGAAGATTACACTTCCGTTCTGGCACAGATTCGTACAGATTCACTTAACAACAGAACAGTCATTGTGAAGCAGCTCCTGGTTCTGCCGTAGTCTCCAGCGTGTCAATGTTCGAGTATATGCGAGCGAAGTGGGCAGGAGACCGGCACAGGCCTGCCACATCCCCACTGACACAATCGCATGAATCACAGATGGCAACAACTTGAGGCCACGGATCAAACATCTTTGGAAGCAGAGCTCTAACATTGGGCCAGCCCAAGGGCCTCGGAGCAGAGCCTCAAGTGCTGCAGCAAGACCTTCAATGTCCAAATGAGCCTGTTGGGCTATGGGATGAACAGAAGGTGCCAAAGGCTTAAGTTAGGCCCAAAGGCCCAAGGCCGGGCCCATCCATTCGGGAGCTCAGAGGGCTGAGAATTGTAGTCCCAACATCGTCTAAACTTTGTACTGAACTGGATGGTTTTGGATGTTTGGATGACACCAGCACTGCGACTGGGTCCCTGGCTCGGGCACCAAGGCCCCGCAAGCACTGCTGCAGCTGAAAGCCCCGACCCTCAGCAGCTCCCAGCTGCGGAAGGTCCAAGTAGAGCCCATTCCTTGCCACAGAAAAGGCTAGGCTTGGGGCTGCTGAAGCCAGTTGCCCAACTGTGGCTGGTGAAATTTTGGGTGAGCTGATTTATTCTGATTTCAACTGATCTACGGTTCCCTGTGGATCTGGTGTTTCACAAATCCCTTTCGCCAATCCATTGCCAGGTCACAGGGCTGCACCTGCCACAGGCCAGTAGACCTCGGCAAATGTCAAGGGCACCAACCAGCGGCCAGGATGCAGGGGTCCAAAATGTTCACAGTTTCCCAGTTTCCGATGCTGCAAATTGAACTGCTGCCGAGTCTCAGAATGCCTGAGGTGAGGACGAAAGCAGCAAACCAAGTAGAATTTTCCACCAACACGACCCCAGTGAGGAAATCTACAATGTTCTGGATGAAATTTAGGTGACATCATTGCGAGCGCTCAATGCAAAGGCAAAAGGTCAACACAGGAATTGAATGGAATTCAGGCATGCTAAGCCCTGATTGTGGACAAGTGCACAGGGTGTACATCAAACTGTCGCACCATACCTCTCTTGAACAAATAAATATTGCTCCGCTAATCTAAGCCTACCCAAAAGACTAGCAATGTTTTTTTCTCATCACCCACAACCACCTGCTCTCCTCAATTCCAGCTGATGCACTAAACTGAATAATTAGTCTTCAATCATTGATACATATTAATATCATTGGTATACCAGTAGCCTCATCATTTCAGGACTTTATAAACCTAGACCAAATGGTTCTTATCGTGCGGTTTTTGCCACATGGCTATGAGTCAAAACCTGGTACCCTAGCAAACCCCAAATAGGTCGTACGTTGTTGTTCCCCAAAAAAAATGCATTTCAATATACAGTATATTATATATATATGTGTGTGTTATAATTATACATGTATATATATATATATGTGTGTGTGTTTATGTATATGTATGTGTATGTGTATATCTATCTATCTATCTATCTATCTATCTATCTATCTATATATATATATATGTATGCGTGTGATATCGTGTGATATGACATGATGTGATATGATACGATATGATACGATATGATATGATTTGATTCGATTCTATATGGTATGATATGATTGATATGATATGATATGCATAGGTTTTGATCCTTGGCATCACATGACGCCCAGCCACAAGAAGAGTTCCCGCACACGCAACTTGGCGCGTGCAGGAAGTTCAGACAACCACGCCCGGTCCGCCGCGTGCGACAGCCGCCGAGTAGCATAGCCTGGGCAAATGTGGGGCCGCCAGGTGGCATAGCCCTGTCAACCCCCTGGTGGTCAGCCCAGGGGATCTGATCACAAAATGGGATGGAGCCGATGGAGCTGCTAAGGAATGCTGAGATCTATGATCTATGCTGTGGTGGGAAAGGCGGCCTCTCTGCTCCCTGCAAGACATCTCCCTCCAAACATCCCTTCATCTCTGATCCAAGTAGCGGAAGACGGCATCCGGGACAGCCTGGCATGCACTCGGGCCACGTGTTTACAATACACCTCGAGCATTGCCCAGGCCATTTTGAACTGGTTCAGGAAAGGAGTCCTTTTATTTGCGATGTTGGGGGTGTTTGAGGTGTGCTCCACAGATCTGTTACCATCATTTCATGCGGGGCCATTTGGATTTTTCGATGTCGGTTATAATTTTTAGCATTTGCTGGTTGCATTCTCATCAATTGTTGGTTCACATCATCAGCATTTCTGATCCACTGCGTCTTTAGCTGGCTGTCGCGTCCTATCTTTCAACAGTTGTTCGCCTGCCTTCTCATCCAACAATGACACCCAAAGGCTTCGGGCGCCATCACTACCTGAGCAGGTGCGCTTGGAGCACACTTGAGATCAGCTCCACGATGCAAGCGATGTGGGAAAAATGGTTTCCAGTAGGTCTTCTCAACCGGATCCATTGATTTCAAGATCCGACATGAACTCTTACAAGTTGTATCTAATCAATACGTCTTAAGTAACCATTCAAATTACCAGACCACAAAGTTTCAAAAAAATAAAATATCATATATATATATATGTATATTATATATATATATGTATACATACATACAGAATATCACAAAATGATAGCATCTTTGCTGTGGGGTGATTGTGGTGATTTGGCAAACCCTGGGTTTCATCCACAAACCCTGGGTGTCAACTCAAACCCTACGAATTGTCGGATATGGAGAGGCAGTTATTTATATATATATATACATTATCATATGTATATATACATATATATATATATATATGTATGTATGTATGTATGTATGTATGTATGTATGTGTGTATGTATGTGTGTGATATGTATAATATATATATATGTATAATAAATATATATATATGTGTGTGTGTGTGATGTGAATCGCTCCACACTGGTAGAAAATCCCCTTCACCAGCTCCAGCGCACTCGCAAACGTTTTCACAAGCAGCCAAGATGGTAAATGTTGTCAGGCTTCCAAGCAGAAAGACCAAAGGCACTGATGCCACGACGAATGCTGTCCTCAGCAAAACCTGGATGGATTGACCTCAATCCTATGGCTTCAAGCGCTTCCTCAGCCCTCCCACCACGAGCTGCCAGTCAGCCAAAGCGGCTGAGGATTTCCACGTCTGGAGTTGGACCCTCATGGAACATGTATGAAAGGCTGTGCACATGTGACAAGAAAGCAAGAACATGACTGGGATCATTTATTCATTCACACTCGTAAAAACAAGAATTTTCTCCTCTTCTTGTTGATCTTTGCTTTCTCCACCTGTGGTAGCTTGGAGCCACTTCACCCTGGTTCTGTTACATGCCCTTTCTTTGAGGATCTCAGTCTCGTCATGTAAGGAGTATTTGCCACATTGGAGGGTATGACGGAGAAAATGACATTGCATAATTTTGGTTACTGCATCTGCCAGCTGTGCTCCCGTGTGAACCCATCTAAGTCTTACCCCTTCAGCCAGCAAGTCTTTAATGGCTCTTGCCTGTAGTTGTGTACGAAATTCCTGGCAACTGGGTGGAGCAGTCCGAGTGACCAAATCAAACAAAGATTTACAATCGGTAACTGCTATTGAGGGGTCTTCCTTGAACGTGGCTGTCGCAAAAGTTTCTGGAAGTTTATTGAGTGTGGTGGTTGCATTCTTCCAATCTGTCTTGGGATTCCGTATCCAGCTCCAAAAAAGTCTCAACCATGACAGTTGGTCCAAGGTTGTGCTCAAGGACGTGGTCTCTGCTGACAGCGTGCTGGTGACAACTCTTTGAATTTTCTTACCGCCCCAACTGATTGGATTTACTGGACATACATTGTTCTTTCCTATGTCCGCATGAGTGGTCATGATAATTGTTCCTGTATGTGACTCTGGTTGTTTCTTGGAAGCGAATGATGCGTCAGAGAAAGCAAGGAACCGTATCTGGTCCATGGGAATTGGTTGGATTCTGACATGTGTATCCTTGTATTGCTTGGCTTCATGAAGAATTCTGTTTCCCTGGATGAGAGTCTCCACGGTCGCTTTGTTCACTTCGCTCTGCAGAAAACTTAAGCGGCTTGACAGGTCTGGTCTCGTGTTCACGGATGCATACTGGAGTGATCCTATCAGTGCTCTTAAGTCCTGTCTCTCTCTCTCTCTCTCTGTGACTGGAAGGTTTTCTTGTATTTTTCGTTGTGGTTGGATGTGAATTGGATTGATTTTGGAAACGTACTTTTCTTGTGACATGACAATTGGGTAGTCGTTTTGTTGGTGCATTTCTATTCCCGTAAAGACAAATGACTGCGTTTTACGCGACCCAAATGGGAATTTGGCCTCAAGCCTTTTGATCATTTCGTGAAAGTATTGGTTTCCTCCGCAGAGGCCGTCATCCACCTGTACCCCCAAGATACCCGCTGGTAAGAAAAGACATCAATTAAACCATACGCTGATTTCACTAGTCTACAAACTTCACTTGGTTTGAGGTTCATCGCTTTCACCATTTCAGGGACGGGCTCAACAGCTATCAGTCTGTCTTCCTGTGTTTTGCCTTGTAGAAACGCTGCCTTAATGTCGAATGACATGAGTGTCCATCGCATGGATGCAATGACCTGTGCAATCAACATCTTTGAGGTTCGTCCTAGTGTAGGGCTATCTCTGGGGATAGTTTCTAGTTGTGGGTCCATGTAGCCCAAAACTACTAACCTCGCTTTTGCCTTTCTTGACTTTCCATTATTTTCTTTGATTTCCTTGGGGTCTTCTAGAGGTTTCCAAACATACAACCATCGACACCTGAGGATCTGTTTTGGAGAAATTTGATGACGAAAAATTTTTGCTACTGTTCCTGTCTGTAGCCAGTTGTTCACTTCCTTATTTTTCGCATTTTCAAACTCCTGTCGTTCAGCAGGATCTAGGGTGCTAAGTTTGACTTCTGTTCTCTGTCTTTTTGCAGTGGTCGCAAGGAAAAGGAAAGCTTCTTCGCGATTTTGATTTTGGCTTTGCATGGCATTTGTCAGCTGTTCGGGGCTGATTTCCAGTTCTGTTCGCCAGAAAAGGTCTTGTCCATCTGGTCCGATTTCTGTTTCCACATCATGGCACGTTAGGAGGTCACAGACTAGCTCATCGGCAGTATCATCAGGGATTGGGATTTCATGAGGTTGTCTAGTGTCTAGTTCTGGGATGGTGGTGTCGTTTTCAGTCTCTCTTGGTGTTTCGGTATTTTCCGGTTCTTGGTCAGGTTGATCTGCTGAGCTCTGACTTGGGCTTCTTTGAGGTGGACTATTGGTATCGTTAGGGGTTATTCCATTGGGATTAGTGGGCACTGGGTTATTGTTTGTGATGGGATTATTATTGGGGTTGCTGCTTTCTGGGATGATTGGTTCAGTGGCATTTCTGTCCATGGTTGGGATATCACGGTGTTCACTTTTCGGCCCGTTGTCACTGGCATTTTGATCCAGGGGGATCAGGCGAGCTTCTACGGCGCTGACAGGTCTGACATGCTCGGGTGCTGCTTTGAGAATGGATCCCATATTGTTGCAAAACACTGCATTGGAACCATCCTGTTGGATGACTCTTGCGGGGCCACACCAGGATCCTTGGTTGGAAACCACTTTCCACACCATGACCCACTCTCCAGCTTCATACGAACCCCTGTGTGGTCTCTCACGACGTAAGGCGGCCCTGCGAAGAGACATGTCATTATCAGCTGAGTGGAAAGCTCGGCGAGCTGTCTCTCGGCGAGCTAGCATCTCACGAAAACGTAAGCCCTCGGATGTCTCCTCACATGCTTTGGCATGTGTGGGTAGTTCATCATCGCCAGTTAGTGAACCTGGGATTCTGGCGCTTTTTCCAAACACTAGCATTTCTGGGGAATACCCCTGTCGGATTCCGCATGTGTTTTTTGCTGCAGTGCACTGTGCTAATGCTTGCTGCAACCGTGAGTAGTTGGTGATTTCATGTTCTAGTTCATACTTACTCAACATGTTTTGGAGCACTCCTCCATGTCTCTCTGCGCGCCCCATCTGCCAGTGCGCATTCGGAGGGACAACCGTGACTTTGATCCCCAAGCCTTGCAGGAAGCTTTCAAAAGATTTGGAGACAAACTCTGTCGCTGAGTCTAAAATCACTTCATTTGGAGTACCAGCCCAACTAAGCCATCCTTGAGTGAAGCGGTCCTGAATCTTTGCACGATTCGGAGCAACAACAGCAGAATGATAGTTGGTGCCATGGTCTATGAAGTGGAAAAAAATTGTATTCTCGACCATCTTTGTTGGTCCACTTCACTCCATCTAAAGATATCTTGTCTCCAAATTTTAAGGCTTCCTTCAGGGTTGCCGGTCGCTGCAGTTTGGGCTTTTGTGTCATCTGACACACGGAACACTTCAGATCCATAACTCCCTGAGACAGTTCAGTGCTGTAACCCCTCTGTTTAAGTACCTGACTTAATTTTTGGGGGTCTGGATGGCCTATAGGTTCTTATGTAGCCTTAATGCTATCTTCTTATTTTCGGGTGACATGGCTAAGAACCGGGGACCATGGTTGGAACTGTTCAGATCGACTTGGCTTGGCTCGCAACTCTCGGATGCTGTTTCTTGGGATTCTGACCTGGCTGGACTTGGCATCGGATGCATTGGTTCAGGCATTGCAGCATCTACGGATGACCCATCCAAGGTCGCAGATTGGCTCGGTCCAGCTGGTTCCACTTCCTGGATTACTGGCTTGGCAGATCTTGCTACTTCAGCATTGGGATTGCAGGCAAAAATTGTTATATTTAGGTAGCTTGGATGTGATCTCCTCCACTGCTGCCTAAATGACAAATCTTCCCATTCCTCCCATTGATCTTCAACCAGTACGTTTCAGCGGTACGGGGCTTCTCCTCGCATGAGATCTTTTGGTGGTACTAACGTTCTTTCAGTCCCCTTACATGCAATTATTCTTTGTACTTGTTTATCCCCAAACATTTCTTGCAACATGGATTTTACTTGAGGGTCATTGATCTCTTTGCGTCCAACCTTCGGCATGATCTCAAGTACCCTGTTGCAAACTTGTTCACACAACACTTTTGGGGTATCATCACTTTGGGTCTTTCCAGAAAGTCTCCTACGTTTGGACGGCAACATTTCTGGGTTGATCAAGACACTTTTGATGCTACCCTCTTTCAGTTTTGCCCGTTTGGCACTTTGGACACCGGCGGAAACGGATCTTCTCTTGGCTCCTGAGCTTGCAAACGAAGGTTCATGCTCGGCAACATGCAGTGGTGCTTCCTTAATCATCTTGACTTTGGTAAGCACTTGGGCCAACGTTCGGGCAAACTTTCGGGTGTAATTCTCAGAAAATTCAATTCTTCTCATGCGGTGACCTTTGAACATTGTTTCTCCCTCAAGTGTTTGGTGTTGATGAAGGTGGTTACACTTACGACCGTGAAGTTGGCTGTATAATTGATAGGACGTGGTAAGGATTTCCATTCCCTTCTTGTACAAAAGTTGGTTGACAGGGTCACGCATGCCTCCTACTCTGCACATGTCGAATTGGGCAAGGTATGTGTTTTCCATTACTTCACGCAACATCGGAGACCTGGTCATGAGTGATCGAGCAGGTTGCTCCCAGTGCATGTGTCTGCCATTCTGTCTCTGGAAACGGAAGAGCACGATGCCCAATGCCAGTTGGTACATATGTTGCTCTCGGAGAGCTTGGATTGTCTTGAACCCTGCCTCAGTCTGCGCGGCATTCATTGCGCTCCAGGCACACCAAGGACTACATGTAGGGCTATACCATAGACTTCGAGGTTGCCCTTCAATTAACTTGGTAAAAAGAACGGCTCGGCCGGCTTCAGTTGCAAGGTCACCCTCTTGAAAACCATGCCTAACCCCTTTATACCCCAAGTTATTGACTTGCTTGGTGAGCTCACTCTGAGGTCCACAAAAGACTTCCAAGACTTGAATTGTCGTGCCTTTCTGGGAACATGATTGTGAAATGGACTTCAATTCGCTGGTGAACTGTTGAACAAGTTTATGGAACTTGTGGTGTAAGTGATTTGGTGTGTTGGTACTGAAATGAGCTTCGGCAGTTGGGTTGTTTTCAAACTCGGCATCAATGTCACCAGCCTGGCACAACATCCGGAGAGCATGATTCACTTCCCCTGACGGAGATGTCCTAAGATCTCGCTGATTGCACCTTCCATGTTCGGCACACGAGCTTGGAGTGCCTCGATCATCTCGTTGGTCTGGTCCTGTTGCAGTGCTGTGTAGTCCATGACATCCCACGGATCGTTCGGATCCGCAATCTCCTCGATCACCTCCACAGGCATTTGATGTGCCGGCATGGCCTTGCTCTTTGGCATGCACTTGGATCGGGGCAACACCACCCCTTGCAGATCTTCGGGATTCTTCAGAGGCACCATGCCATGGCTCTCCTCGTACTGATCCAACACCTTTTCCAGATATGCCAGTACTTTCAGATGCTCGGGCTTGGTGCTGCTGGCGTAAGTCTTGGCAAACCATTTCATCCATGACTTTTCCTGATCCCACATCTCTGCAAAGGTTTTCCCGACGTGAGTGCGACCAAAGGTGATGCGATGTTGGCTCATGGTTTCCAAGTCCAGCTGTCGGAACTCCTTGATGTTCTCGGTGGGAGTGCGGTTCACCACTCGCTCTAAGCGGCGGGACAGGCTCATGGCTATCACAGTTACCTACCTTTGCAACAAGGTGGGGAAACTCGGTTGATGGTGGCGTGGGCCGGGTGATCTCTGTACATTCGAAACTACACTCACTGCCCCTGGCTTCGGCTGGTCATGTGAACATGTACCTGTGTACCTGGGCCTGTTGGTGTTGAAAGTGACTTCAATCTGTTACCTTGACTTTCACTGAGGATTGGCTGACACGTTTCAGCTTGCTGGTTTTCGCTGGAAAAATCACTGCTCATGAAAGTCTCGGCCATGATTGCATCACGAGGTCCTCGCAAATCCTTCTGGGCACGAAGCAAACCTATCAAATCAAGCATGTAAAGTCCTCTGGGACTCAGCTTAAGTCTGACAACTTGGTTCAACAAAGGACTGGACAACGTGTGATGCTCGCTGTTCAAACTGGCTTTGAGAGTCCTCAGGAGTGTGTTGGACAGCAGCAGCGGTGTTTCACCAGGCACGATTGCAATCTTGAGACCCAGACCTACAGATTTTAAGGGGATAACTAAGGCATGTTGGCTATCCAAGGTACCTTGATTTCCGAATCTGAAGGTGATGTCACATGATGTCCTGAACACCTGCTGTCTCATCTCAACTGGAAGGCCCTCAAGTAAGGCAGGTAGCAATTTGCTACCAATCACTGACTTCGACGCACCTGTGTCAAGTATGCCACAAGTGCCATACGTGGAAAAATACGCTACTGCTGGCTGCTCTCTCACGGATGCAACAAAACGGCTCTCAGGTTGCTCTGTGATTCGTTCATTCCTGGGCAGGCTCTCATTCGGGTTTTGATTATCTTCCCCTTTACCCCGTTTACCCAAATTACGGAGTCTATCCCGAATTTCCTCCATGGATGAAACAACAACATTAATTTCTTGTAAACTAGGAACATCTAGGGTTTCCTCATGCACCATCGGAAGCTGCATGAACTCCATCGGAAGCGCATTGGACTCTTCCATGGACTGGGACACTGCTGAAACGGTCATGGCTGCTGATGTATTCGTGGAACCAGTTGATGCATTCGAACGTGTCCGGTCGGGACACTCCGCACGCCAATGACCCTTCCTACCACACAATCTACAATGGCTTTCAAGGATCCTCTGTTGAAGACTTTTCTTGGAACCCTTGTTGAAATACTTCCCTTTGCCCTTTGGTGCGGACGATTTGCCTGAACCTTTGCCTTGACCTACTGGCCAAAATCCTCTATGCTTGAAACGGTCGGAGAGTCTTCTCCTGGCATCTGCGTATGCGTTGTATGTGGCAGCAAGGTCACTGTCTCCTTGCAGCACATCTGCGGCCACCGATTCATAGTCGGCAATCAAGGCTGCATCTTCATCATCATCTTGCAGTAACTGACTTACAAACTCATCCTCGGTATATTCATCAGCTACGTATGCAGACCCATCATGTTGAAAGTCATCTTGATCTTCAGCTAGCATCACTTGGGATTCATAAATCTTACCCTTGGGGGCTTTTTGACCAATCATCTCATTGAAAAACGAAGTACCAAGCATGCGAACTGATTGTGTGACCTTCTCCATGTTCAAAGCACTTGACGATGATTCACTCTCGACAATGACACGTTTCTTGTCCTCTGTGCTCAACCGAGACCCTCTGAGGACTATGTACGATTGGATTTCTTCCAATTGCACCTTCTTGGCTAAAAGTTCAGACCAAACAACGTCACAACGTGCTAGGAAAGAATCGTTGGATTCATCTTGTTTCTGAAGGCAACGGAAAAGTGCTCTCTCCACGATGTCATACTTTTTCTCCAAATTGACTTTTCCCCACTGGCCGCCAAGGAGCTGGACCAGTTGTTGCACTCCCTTCTTGTCATTTGTCATCAGCTGAGACTTGTTCAACTGAAGTTTCTGAAAGGCAGCCCCATTCGTATTCAGAATGAGACGGGTGATCAACTCATTGATCTTTGTTGCAGGCCATATCTCACTCAGGAATTCTACCTTTTGTGTGTACTGTTCTAAGTCATCCTTTGATGGATCGAAAGTCGGCACCAGTGTGGCCATGTGGTTCGATGTTGCAGTGTTTCCATCGGTTGAAGCTGCTGTTGCAGTTTCTTCGGACATTCAGAGAAAACCAGATGTTATCAAAGGTCCCCTGGAGCTTTATTGGTAGCTCCGCTACCAGTGTGAATCGCTCCACACTGGTAGAAAATCCCCTTCACCAGCTCCAGCGCACTCGCAAACGTTTTCACAAGCAGCCAAGATGGTAAATGTTGTCAGGCTTCCAAGCAGAAAGACCAAAAGGCACTGATGCCACGACGAATGCTGTCCTCAGCAAAACCTGGATGGATTGACCTCAATCCTATGGCTTCAAGCGCTTCCTCAGCCCTCCCACCACGAGCTGCCAGTCAGCCAAAGCGGCTGGGGATTTCCACGTCTGGAGTTGGACCCTCATGGAACATGTATGAAAGGCTGTGCACATGTGACAAGAAAGCAAGAACATGACTGGGATCATTTATTCATTCACAGTGTGATTATATATATATATATTATATATATACCCTGTTCCTGAGATTCTCTTTTTACCCAACCTGATCCTTGGTCGAGCTTCCAAGCTCCTGCCCCAGGCTGAAGGCCAGATCTGCCGGCACCCGCTCCTGTCGCCAATCTGCAGGGCGACGCGGCTGGGCGCCTGGAGGGAAAGTCGGCCACGGGAAAGTTGGCCACGGGAAAGTGATCATTTATTACAATTTGATATAATCGCCAGGGGTATACATGTATTATCATTTATTAAAATCGAAATATATTGAACTATACCATAAATAAGTGAATGAATATATATAATGGAAATAAAGTGCCGAGGATATTGATTGAGGTTACCATGTCGTGTTGGAAAGGAAATGGAAGTATCACGATGTATCACGTGGATACCACCTTCGGCCACCCTAAGAGAAACTCGGGACAGTCGAGTTGACATGAGTTGACCAGGTTGTTTGACATCTCCAAAAACCGAATGTCCAAGGCCTAAGCAATCCACGAAGAAAGCCTCCCAAAGCAGTGCCTGCCGCACGATGTTCAGTCATAGGATGGAGAGCAGATTCTCAGGATGCATTCGGAGGAAAATGAGCGCGCCAAACAAAAGAATAATCTATGAATAATCTGCATTCACTTCTCAAATTCTCCAACACAGCTCCAAAATCGATCATCAATTGGAATATCATTGCATATCATTGCCATGCCTCCAACCTTCTTTGGTGAGCATCTTGGCAATCTGCCAGCGGCCAAGTCTGAAGTTTCTGTGGTGGCCTCGGTGGGCCCAGTATTTCTCCGAGAGGATGGAGCTGCAGCCCCTCGGTCCCAGACCCAACAGCCACAGAGGAGGTCCCCAGAAATCCTTCGATGCGTTCCACCAGGTCCTTGGCTGCTGGGTGATGGTGCGCCTCTTGGCTGCAACCTTCACCATGGTTCACCTGCCCTGGAAGGCCAAGTCAGCCAAGGCACTGCGGGAAGTTCCCGCGAATGACCCAAGAGCGACCTTGGAGCAGGTGCTGCACTGCGTTTTGGCACTCTCTTGGACAGCATTTGACGAAATCAAGCTATCAGCAACTAGTGGCTGGTGGATGATCTCAAATCAATAAATCATCTCCTTAAGCGCTCTGAACACCAGCACTTTGATGCACAATGCACTTTGTCTGGGCCCCCAAGCGGACATCTTAAGGATGGCGGTGGCCGCATCTCATCAGCAGGGGCCAAAAGGATGGCACCAATACCTCCCTGGGGCAGAAAACAATAGAAAACACAGGGGTGGCACGTTTAGAAACGCAGTTGACTGGTTTCCAATTGTCACCGAATCGAACGCTTTCCCGCTTTGCCCATTGTTGCACTGCCAGTATTACTGAACCAATGTTGTATCACATCCTTTGCATTCTCCACCAGGCTTTGATCCCATCATGAACCCATCCGATGCTGCCACCATGTTGTACGAAATTTCATGCCGCCAGCCTCTTCCCCTTTCAGCTTCACTAGCGCTTCAGCTGCTTCCACACTTTTGCACGTGCCCAAGTTCTTCAACGCATGGCACACAGCCATGATACCTGCTGATGCTCAACAAAGTCATCGCAGGCCAAAATGATCATCGTTCAGCCATCCTTGTCAATATTCAGAGTAGTGCTATTCTAGTGAAAGACGTCCACGAGATCGCACAATCTAATGAATCGGCTTTTGAGTCCAAGATACGCGCTCCCCATAACCAAGATAGACGCTTCGCAACACATGTTTGTGATGCTTTCTTGTGCGAATATGAGCGAAAACTGGACTCAAGAGAAAGAAGCAACCTGATGCTGAAAATGAGAGATGAGAAAAATGATGAAGAAGCGAATATCATCAACATACATCATAAGTGTGTATATATATATATATATTATACGCACATGTATATATATATATTATCAATGTATATTAATGTGTAATTATCAATGTATATCAACTAATGATTATTCATTAATGTATCATCATTCTGTGTTGGGACTGTAAGGAGTCACGTTGGGCCTCGAATCTCAGCGCCATCCCCTAGTGGCTCCGCCCAAAGGTCTCGAAGTACAGCTAAAGCCTCGGGTGAAAAACCACCACACCAGCCATTGCAAATAGTTGCATTCCATGTATGTATGTATGTATGTATGTATGTATGTATGTATGTATGTATCTGTGTGTGTGATTATATATATATATGTGTGTGTGATTATATATATGTGTGTGTGATTATATATATATATGTGTGTGTGATTATATATATATGTGTGTGTGTGTGATTATATATATATGTGTGTGTGATTATATGCACATTTCACACTTGTTCCAAGTTAAACCATGTGAGATCATGTGAGATCCACATTAAAAAAAAAACACAATTTGTAGTTCATTCCTTACTTACTCCGAGCCCAGCCGCATCGCTGGGAACCCCAACTGCCCAGCAGCAGTACGCCACTGGCTGAGGAGCCGGAACCTGGGTGTTCAGCCACCATTCATATACGCCCCCAGACATCCTCATATCCATTATATACACTAGTATCTTATGTATACAAGTGTGTCCACTTCTCTCTCTCTCTCTCGATATAGTTTCTATATATATATATATGGATCATATGTATAGATACAGATGGGGATGATTGCAACCCCTGCCAAGGGACACATGGCACCACCTCCAATTGTCGCTGTAGAGCTGCCTCTGCAAGCTGCACGCGGCTCGGCGGCTCAATGCCCAAGCTCGTCAGCCTTGCCGCAACGGAACTGTGTTGGAACTTGGAACCTTCAAAGTAAGGCGAACCAATTATGCATATTACATATATATGTATAGGCATATAGGCTAAGATTGAAATTAGGTCTGCGCCTGGCAAAACGAAAACATATGTATACTATATATATATATGTGTGTGTATAGTATATATATATACAATATATGTATATATATAATTATATATATGTGATTCTAGATGAATAATTTTGAATCATTCATACTCAATGGTTAATAACGCATTGAATGTTGTTGGAAATCGTGCTATCAACAGACAATCGTTTTATAAATATGCTGCTTCACCGGCACAATCTCATCCAAGTTGCAGCTGTGTGCCCAGGCTATCCAAACTGGCTTTCATCGAGGGAGGCCTTGGCTTCACATGGCTCCACCATGTCTCCAAAATCGACCTGCAAAAAATGGCCTTTGAAAAGGGACCGTTACGGCTTTCATAATCTGCGTGTCATAAATATCGGATCCATGTATGCTATATATGGTAACATTTACCATCAATATACCCCCAATGTTAGCATATATACCGTTATATACCATACATGGATCCTATGGGATATATAGTTTCTCATAGTTCATCTTCAGGATCAGAGGTTGGACCGAGCAATGGACCGAGCAATGGCTTGTACTGTCAAGGAGCAAAAGCCTCAAGGCACTGTGGGTTCCCAACACCAGCTGCCAACGTTCCTTGGCTGTCACGGATCAGCCTATGGGATGATGTGATAGGTAAAATCTAAGGATATATCCGATATCTAATCGATATCTAATGTATCTAATGTATCTAAGGGCAAACACCTCCTAGATTTTGGCAATTGTAAGTCGCTTGGTATCAACCTTCCAAGTTGAAGATAGCCAATTTTGACCCGCCACGGCTATAGTTTCATATAGTTTGCACACTGGAAAAATCAGTGGCTTGGAGTCCTCAAAGCCATCAGCATCAGCCATCGGCAAGTTTCAGAGAGCGCTGGGCACAAACCCAAGTAGATGGGCCCTTCTTCCAATTTCGCACACACAATCTCCGACCTGCACAAGGGCAAAACTGGGCCACATAAGCGGCAACGTATCGTAACATCAAGGTCGCGGCCTCCATTTTCAAGACACATTCTTGCTGTGGTAAAATCTGTGTCGAAACTGAACATTCAAAGCCATAACAAAAAAGTCGCAAAAATCATCAAACAACATCAAACATCCATGAAAAATCACCATCGCGTCAATAGCTATTTCCTGGCGTAGCCTCTCATTCTTGTCCCGAAGCAAGGGAAAGAGAGGAAGCGATGGCAGCTGTAACAGAAGATCAACTGCCTGGCACAACTGCCGGGTCAAAATGTGGCCCGGCTATGACAACACATGGTCCAATGCAGCAGCAGGGGCACCAATGGACCATTGCCTCTGGTGCACCCCCTGTTTCTACACAATTCTTGGACACTCATCGCTTCTAATACATTAAATATGTATATATATATATATACACATCAAATAAATACACATCAAATAAAAGGGTCTAGTCTTTCCTGTCACTGTGAGCACGTAGTACCGTAGCGTTCAAGGACTGCATATTGAAAAATGGGGCCGTTGATGCCCTCGGAGATTGTATCTTTTGGAGTCTTCCTCCCGCTGAAATGTTTCGTAAATCATTAAATCATCGTAAATCAGCTGGTTGGGAGCCACAAGTGTTCCTTCAGCCAAGCCTGTACCTTTCAACTAGATCCCGTACAATCTTAATCAACCTTCGTCTAGGTCCATGCATTGCCGCCTCGTTTCCTTCCTCCTCTCCAGGTCGTACAATGGCACCGAGCAAATTGTACCTGAACACTTCAGGGCACGTCTTTGGGTGTTTGAAGGTACACCTTTCATGCCATGATGCATGGCCGCACTAGAAGCCCACACATACATGAATAAAACATAATAAAACGATCGAAAAACGCATGCCTTTCAATCTTGCTAGGAATGTGCAAGATAAGAATGTTGCATACACCATTTGTGTTGCTATCAAAAGCAGCTCCGTCTGCCGTTCTCTTTGTTCTTAGCGATCTGTCACAACATGGCACCATTTCGGAGATGCTGCACCCAAGTCACAAAGCAGCTACTCGTCGTAGACCTTCAGCGCTGCCACCATCCCAAATAGATGCAACCCAGCCTGGCAAGCAAACTTCAGGTGGAGGAATGGCTGGAAGACTGGAACATGTAGCAATGTTAGATTGAAAGTTGTTTGGCCATGGAAGCCTTTTTACAAAGTGCTATTGACGTATAATATTTACGTATATGTATATATACATATATAAATATATTAACGAATATTAGCGTATATTACATTAATGTACAACTATATTCACATATATTATTATATGTGAAAACGATGGAAAACATGCGTAAACTAAAATTTCGCAATCATGTAAACATTAAAACAATAAACCCAAACTAAGCCCAAACACCCAGGGCACTGTCCATTGGACACTGACTACCAGCCCACCCTTGGGATCCCTTGGGCCTTGTGGCCAGGCACCACCACGAAAAGCCAGGCACTGCCCTAAATGCTTTGCTGCAAAGTCTTCAGCACCCAGCTTGCGCAGCAAGCGCTCCTCATGCTGAACTCAGATGCACAGGCAGATATCAAGCTAACCAGCTACTAGACTATACTGAAACTGCATCCCTTGCAGTTCCAGATAGCCAAGATAGGCAAAAAGAAGCACCTTTATAAAGTGAGAGCAAGCAGCTCATGGCTGACAACCCATGCTGGGACTTTGTTTACGTTTGTTTGCTGGCCATGTTGGCAGTATCTGGCAATGCTGGCCATGTTAGCCCCTATTGCCTTTGTCATGTTAAGCATAGCATGTAGGTCCTCGCTGGAGTCGCTCGTGTCGCACAGAGAGCGTCCGCAGCTGGCGCGCCTGGAACGTCGTCGCGGTCAAAGAACTGGTCACAGTGCAGTGTGGCAGCTGTGCCATGGTCATTGGACTTTTTTTACATGGCTCTAGTTGGTGAGTCTCATTCAAACACATGGACAACTGCTAGTTTGGTTGCACTCTGGAATCTGCACATGAACATTGTGAAATTATGTGCATGCACGATCACCCAGGTGGTTCATTTCAGCAACTGAGGCACACCAGTTCCGCCGGCATCAGTTCGCTGGCACGGCGAAGGGAGCCACTTCCACGCAGCAGGACCTTCTGAGAGACTCGGCCACTGGGAATGCTGGCGAAATACTGGGAAAAAAAACGAAATGGACCTTACTTCAGAGTCATTGAATGTCATTGACCTGAATTTCTCGGCATCTTCATTTAACCAACTTCCAAGACCAAGACTAATAAAGGTCATAAAGGACTGACTTATAGTTCTCGTTCTCGCCACAATCTGTACAGCAAAGTTGCTCTTGTGTGCTTCTTTTGGGTTTTATGTCCACCATCTACTTCTGATCTGGGGATCACAGCTGTCCGTTATGCCATGCCATGCCTCCCCTGGCTTTCGGAGGTCACCCATCGAGGTCTGAACGCCTCAAAGGCTTCGCGGAAGCGACACCAGCTCCCAGTGGCCA